ATCTCCCTTTTTTAACTAGATAGTCAGTAAGAGATATCCTACGTTATCAGCAATTATAAAAAAATATAGATTCATTTTTATTTTTGATTAGCACACAGAAGATGTTTTAATCTAAATCAAATTTTAAATTGCGTTTTGTTGTCAATTTGAAGATGGTGATAAGTATTAGCACAAATTAAAGATTATAAAGGCTTTATAAATAATGAACGTAATAAATAAGTAACAACTCATGTACGTTTCACTTTTATAAAAGTTGGATAAAGTAAATAATGTTTCATAACTCTTTTATTAATTATCAAAGCAGATGTTATCATTAATGTTTTACTATAGAGTCTTAATTATAACCTACTGATGATGCAATCACAGTCGTACCTTTATTATGCTTTTCGCGATTACATTTTAATTACTATTATCCATCTCTTATCTTTCATCAAAATTAACCTCTTCCCAAGAAGTCGGTTGTTAATTTTATACTTTATTTAGCTTGATTCTTATTTTTTTCATTTGTAAATTTTATCATGTAATACGATTACTCTAGATATCCTGCAATTACTAAGTTTAATGGCTTCCTTATCTTCGAAATTTTAATTAAGTATATGACTTGTTATTTTAATGCTTTATTAGTAGCAACTATAATAGAGATCGAAAGCTTACGTAAGATCATCGTATTCATGATAATATATCCTTGGTAGCACCTGCTCGAGGATGACGGGCAAGATTGTTTTAGAATATTATTCTATTTCTTATTAAGGGCTGATTATCATCTTGATTTGTATCAAAGATCTTGTTATAAATGGCATTTATCAATTCGATTTCTAGGCTAATACGATAAAGCTATTTTCAGAGATTGATGGGCATTTATAGAGATAAATTCTTTTCAACGCCTGTAAGATTTGTTGTTTATCATGAGATCTAAGCGAACACTATCAACACAAATATCTTCCATAAACCTAGATGATTAATAATTATAATAGGGAAGATATTATTAATTGTGTAGGTGTATCTATACGTGTATTAGTTTAGCACCATGGCTAGGTGATGTACCTTTTCGAACAAGAAGTTATCTTAATTGACTTCTAATTCAATTACAACTTTTGTAGCTTAGATAAAATTAATAGCCAGTATTTTTTTTGTAGAGTAAATTAGGATTTTAGTACATTGAATGTACGATAGTTTTTTAATGATGGCAATTTGGTATTATGACCTACCGATATCATTCATATGATACGACTGACAGAATTTTAGATTGATCATGTTAAGCAAGATGAATTGCGTCTAATTTATTGACAATGATAAATATTGCGATGGTGATAATGATTGATATCTATTGAATTGGTTGCTTCTTCATCTAATATTGCACATAATTATAATTCTTAAAAAAGGGGAGAGGAGGGCATTTTACCGATGATGTAGCAATTAATATTCAGTTTCACACGATTATAAAGCCAAATATCTATAACTGGCATCTCTATATGCACAAACTCTGACTTATAGACTTTATCGGACAATGCTATTTGCCAATGTGACGAAGTCTAATTTTTAATTGTATTATGATGCATTTTTATATTTTAATTCCTCTATATCTGCCCAAACACTGTCTGATAAGCTGGCACCTGATAGTGATTATGATCAGAATAACCATCTATTCAGTAGAATATTTTCAAATCCCAATTTCAATTCTCATGACCCCCTGTTATTATTTCTTCGAATCTTTTTTCACTAATCATCTTGCTTTGAAGGGAATTTATTTTTCTCATATTGTATTAAATCCATTGGAGCTACAGTATTGACCGGATGTATCTACTTTTTATAGTTCCTTCCGCATCAAAAAATGAGCATGCAATTGTCACAAACCAGCTTCGTGATAAGGATAACGTAAAACAAATCTCTAAATTACTATAGTCTCCGGGATTCAGTATCCCTTAACTACCTCACAAGAATTTAGACGCCTTTGATTCTACGTTAAACTCAACTAGACAATTGAGAACTGCTTTATTCAACTATCTGACAGGCTTATATACCCTTCTACAGCAGCTAACATTCACGAGTCATCTTATAATAATACTTAGGTGAGAACATCTGCTAACTAATTTTTCACAGTCGGACTACAATATGTCCATTCACTGAATCATTTCAGTACACATTACAGCACAGCATTAAATTTACTGTAACACATTTATAATTAGAGTAATTCCTACTGTAAGTAACTAGTTGTAATATATTATCACTATATTATATTAACCAAATTTAGATGGCTATTTCTTCACGGTAGTTCGTACCGTGATAGCAATTTAACTCAATTGCATGCCCTCAAATAAATAATTTTTAGTATCGAAATTACTAAATGATATGAGCAAATGATACAAATTCTGTTTCATACTTCATTTATGGTATCGGTACAAATAGTCAAGATATCGCTATACGATATAAACTTGCAGCGTTCAATTCTGATACATGTATCTACTAACAAAAAATAAAGTCATTGATAATTTAAAAAAATAGGTGTTAATCTAGGTAGGGCATACGAGTAACTAAAATTGAGCGATAAAGACAAGCATATGATATGGTTTTATTGAACAAAATTCGTGTTCAATAGATATGTTGCTAATAAGTATACGTATTTAACAATTATGAATTAACATTTGAATTAACTTTATAAGTAGTCATTTATTCTTTTTCAATTGAAGTAGAATGTCGTAGTTATGGTACTATAAGGAGATCAGATTGCATATACTATGAGCACAGCCGGATTTAATTTAATTATGTGTTTCATACATTAACTGTAAATTAATTAAATAGCTTGACTGAATGAAGGATGAGCAAATAGAATACGATGACAAAGTTATCAGCATTTGCAATCTAATTTGAGTAGCAGCAGAAATATTTTATAGAGCTTGTATTTGTATGCTTCTATATAATTAGTTAATATCATGAGCGTACAAGTTAAACAAGAACTCATGACCTTTAAAATTCAAAATAGAACTTTACTGCATATCTTATTTTTTTCTCCTCACTGTGATTCAGTCGCAGCCTCACAAACACATTACGATGCATAAAGATTGAAATGACCGAATGGAACGTCATTCTCTGTTAAGTATTTATTTTATTTTTTGTAGTCATAAGGAAATCGTTCATGGTGATAGAATGCATACCCAAATTGAACTAACGCCATGCGCTTTACTGTATGCCCTCTCCTGCAATCTTATGTAATATGAAATGAAGGCTATCTACATCAGATTAGTTTGTAACATCATTGATTGAAGATTGACGTTTATCAAGACCATTACTAGTACTTTATTTTACTCTCTAGCTTGCTCTTGTCTCTTATTTAACAATTATTTATCGACTAAAAAAGGGATTGTTGTTATTTTTATTCTTCTATGCGATAGAGCGATCGCTTTGTTTTCTTTGCGTTACTAAATCTCTCCTATTTAACAATTATTTATCGAGTAAAAAAGGGATCGTTATTTTTATTCTTCTATGCGATAGAGCTATCGGTTTATTTGCTTTGCGTTAGTAACTCTCTGAGTCTTTAAAATAAATGATTGCATATTCCTTGTTGGTGTGGTTAGAAATACTATATTGAATGATTGAATAATTCGATGGTTTTCACCTCTTTATTATACAAGTCGATGAGCTTATCAGGAGTAATTATCCAAATAGAATACCCTAACGCATTGAATAAAAGATAGACCAGCAGTTAGTAGCAGTTTTATTTATTTATTTATTATTATTAAATCGATGTTCAAATTAGAGTCAAGGAGAAGTTTGGATATTTTATTGGGCACGGATAAAATAGTCAAGTTGATGGAGTCTACGGCTACGACAGCCAGTGATTTGCGTGCGCTTGAATTTCTATACTATCCGTTCATATACTCTACACATTCCATGAGGCTCCTCTGTCCTGCAGTCCGGTCGAAACTCTGAAGGTTTTCGTTACAAAGTGACCCATTGTCCATGATTACGCTACAGTACTGTAGACTGTACACTGTACAAGAAAACCATAAGTGAAGTAATTATTATGGAAGTATAAAAACTTTCCAAGTTTCGCCAATTCGGAAAGGTTGATGACTCGCACGAGTGCGTCAATACCAATAAGAGTTTCGAATTTTTGGAGTTTGGTTTCTTGACGTGTGCAGCGTCGAGGAGCCCAACATTCAACGCAAAGTAAAGCAAATAGTTACCGCGGCGGACTCTCTCTTCAGACACAGTACTGTGCAGTATTAGTATGTAGAACGCCATCATTACAATGGGCAAGTTCTCTCTGTCTCTCTGAAATTCATTCGGCAGCCATAGTAACAATACTACAGTACAGTACTGTAGACAGATCCGCTGATTAGCGAGATCCTGTCACGAGCCCTACTGTGCAGTACTGTGGTATCGAGCGAAAACACAAAAGCGTTGGAAAATACTGTAGAGAAAGAACGTCCTATCTAAATGGCGGTGCAGTACAACGACTGCTACCGTAGCCATTGACCAGTGACATCATTTTGGATAGTGATTTCGCTGCCGACTGCTTGCATTTTCTTTTGTAGATGAACACTGTCTACCAGTGTCGTGCATCCTTGCATACAGTATCACTGATCACTATCGGCGCCTTGTTCACGATCTTTGATCATGACTACGGAGTATACTGTACACTATTCATTGATTCATCGTCCATTCTCCATCTCGTCGTTATGACTGTAGCGGTTTTTCCACTACCCTATTGATTGTCATGACTTGCAAACTTGTAGAAGTACTGTACTGTACAGTCTGTACTGTAAAAGAAAAGCTGATCGGGCAGCCGACTACAGTACATTGTACTGTAGTCCTTTTCTTTTCGTTGTACAGTACAGTACTCTACAGTACTGTACTGTGACACGAGTCAAGAGAAAAGACGACAACTGCCTCGACAGCCCGGCCTGGACTAGACTGGAACGGTACGGTACCGATAGGACTGACTAATTGACCAGTCACTTTGAACAGCCAAGTCATCGCTGCACAAGCAAAGAAAAAAAATGGAGGAAATCGGAATAGTGGTCAATAAGGTAAACTCCTGAATAGTAACCTTGTTCAATATCATGTGAAAGTACATTGCTAGTCATTAGCTGGAGTTGAGTTCGGTTTGGATAGGGTATAGATAGATAAGAATAAGGATGGAAAGGGAAGCAGGATTAGACGAAAGAAGATTGGACGGTTGATTGTCCACGCACAGTAGTCTACAACCCAGAAAATTTCAAAAAGTTCCCACTGTCTAGCATAGGCAATCGTCTCGACTGGTTGGAAAAGACATTGATATTCTGTTCAATTCGATATACATTGTTCATCAACGCTTGATAGAGTGTATTAGTGATGCATACCTTAGGCTTGCTTGACGGCAAAGGAAGTCTCTTTCAAAATTGAACGTAATCTCAACAATGCTCTATAGTATAGTATATCAGTCATCAGCAAGGGTGAACGACAGTTCTATCCGTAGTCGTTTGTGAACAAGGTCAACGTGAAGTTACTCTTCAAATAGCGTAGAACTATTTGACTCTCTATTTTACTTGATAAAATGGGTTCAATGAGTCTACAGCCATAAATACTCTTGTTAGATGGTATAAAATAACAGTTTTATACAAGACTCTTCAAACACTGAAATTGCAACCGTACTCAAAAAACGGCTATTCACCACATCATCCAAGTCGAACAAATTTACTTCAAGCACGTTACAGTAAATCATGAACATCGAGCAATGCGCTCAAAATTGGTAGCGTACCGATACACGTACGAATCTCTCTAATGATACTGTAATAGACTTGGACGTTGATTTCATGTCAAGTCTTTTACCCTCTTGTCAATGTTATCATTCCGATTAAGACATGGTACTGCAATGATAACGATATCATATGGATTGTGTTGTATGCAATCAAAATTGGCAATAGGATATTTCTAGTTGGCATTGGTAGTTTCTCAAATGCTTCACTTGTGATAGTGTTAATACAGGAGGAATCTTCAGCAAGTATCGTTATAAACGACTTACACGTCTTCAGTGACTGTACAAATATTATTTTAAATGTTATCATAATCCACCAGTGATACCATACCATAGGTGACTACCACAAAATCTTAATACTGCAATATATGCGTATAGCGGTGCTGTAGCTTACGTCAAGAATGAATAATTACATGTCATTTGCATCAACCTATTAGGCTTATCCACATCAGTTTCACTCACGTATACTGCAATGACTTTGTTAACATTCTTTTTCCTATCATGTACATATTCTTATCAAATGATGAATCAAAAATAACAGCACTAATACATTTCATTGTCATGTTTGATAACCTGTACAACTTTACTTACTCAATTCATTCCTTTCGAACACGTAGAATGCTACTAATCAAGATGAAAAACAAGTAACTCAAAAGGATAAACTCTTATCCTTGCTAACTCCATCCGGTGATAGCATCTCAATAGATGATCTCTACTCGTTATACAAAAAGCTGCAACGTCAATTAGAATTTCTGCAAGTACAAGAGGAGTATATTAAATATGAACAAAAAAATTTAAAACGTGAATATTTACATGCTCAAGAGGAAGTGAAAAGAATACGTTCAGTACCCCTTGTCATCGGTCAATTTCTAGAAGCTGTTGACCAAGTCCATGGCATCGTTGGATCGACAACAGGCATGTTACATCTCAGAGTTGATGTTGATATCATTGTGCCATTTTTTCTTGGACCACTTCTTGTTGGAATGCATTCTTACAGTATTTCATCAATGACCTACCTGTATTCTAACAATACTATACTAATGAATTACAATTATTTTTATTGCAGGCTCCAATTATTTTGTTAGAATTCTTAGTACCATCGATCGTGAATTATTAAAGCCTGGATGCTCTGTTGCATTGCATAAGCATTCAAATGCTTTAGTGGATATTTTACCTCCAGAATCGGACAGTAGTATCGCGTTATTATCTGCTGAGGAAAAGCCAAACATACTGTATTCCGATATCGGCGGCATGGATATACAAAAACAAGAAATGAAAGAAGCCGTCGAACTGCCCTTAACACACTTTGACTTATATCAACAAATAGGTAAGCATGTCATGATTTTGCTGTTGAGAATGAGAACATTTTCATAGAGATTTTGACTTAAGCTGCAAATAAGCATATATATATATGAGAGCAGAACCATTCACATATTGCGTATGCGCCATTGAATGTACGCATTGCATTCCTATTCAAAAACGATGCATTTCATAAATTGGTCAATCGGTGTAATATAATCGCAATATTATACTAATTGTAGGTATAGATCCACCCCGTGGTGTTTTAATGTATGGCCCGCCAGGTTGCGGTAAAACTATGCTTGCCAAAGCTGTAGCCCATCATACTACCGCTTCTTTTATAAGAGTTGTGGGATCAGAATTTGTACAAAAATATTTAGGTGAAGGGCCTCGAATGGTCCGAGATGTTTTCAGGCTTGCTAAAGAAAATGCTCCAGCTATTGTTTTTATTGATGAAATCGATGCCATAGCTACCAAACGTTTCGATGCACAAACTGGAGGTAGACGATTTTGGTAGTTTCCTTATACTATTGCGTTAAACTTACGTAAGCTGTCAATATCTCTTCGTAGCTGATAGAGAAGTTCAACGCATCTTGCTGGAATTGCTTAACCAAATGGATGGTTTTGACCAAAACATTAATATCAAGGTACTTTTACTTTTATTTCGATAGTCAAAAGTGTCATTCAATATAGATGCATTGAACACTTGTATAATGAACGCTTAATATGAGATGATGTCTTCATATTACATTAGGTCATCATGGCCACTAACAGGGCCGATACGCTGGACCCTGCTTTACTTCGTCCAGGACGTCTTGACAGAAAGATCGAATTCCCCATGCCGGATAGACGACAAAAACGTTTAATATTTCAAACTATAACTAACAAAATGAACTTATCGGATGAAATTGACTTAGAAGATTGTATCCTATTAACATAATTTTTTGGTTAACTTCTTCTATGTTTTATTTCGTAGTGGATTTATCAGCTTACTATACGATCTTATAATGTCCAGTGCATAAAATTGAACTTAACCAAAACATCAAATAGATGTAGCAAGACCTGACAAGATTAGTGGTGCCGATATAAATTCAATCTGCCAAGAGGTAGGTATACACGTATATTAATTTAAGTTCACAGCCAACACCAGTTTCACAATGCTATGTAATTCTTATTCGTTGTCACAGTCTGCTATGCAAGCAATTCGGGAAAATCGTTACGTTATCCTTGCTAAAGACTTTGAAAAAGGATATAGGACAACAGTTACGAAGGACGAAATGGAGCACGAGTTTTACAAATAGACAAGTCGATAGGATGCGATCAGTACACTGTAGTTAACAATTTGTATTTTAACGATTTAAATATTTTACGCAGTTATCAGTTGCTTTATGTGATTCATTATTGGTTTCCACAGTTTCATCATATTACCTGTCTAGGGTATTTATGATATTTAAATTTATAACACTTTGTATTTTCATTATTATAAACTACATCATTATTCTTGATGTATGCAACTGCTAGCTCGAACCTTCTCTAGTAACTTTTTTTCAAATTCATATCATATTCATTGCATAATGAAACGACTATAGGTTCAAAGGTAATATTGAATTATGTTCTTGGGAATTTATTGTCATATTTCTATGAAATCAGTTGCCATATAAACTACTTAGATTAATCTTAATATAAAATAAATATAATCTAAGGGTAAAATTACCAATAAAGACAAACGAAAATTAAGACGGTATGATTCAACTGATATAAAAGGATAATAAGAAGAGCTATGTAACTCATTCTGTTCAGCCAGACCAAGAAATTGAATTTATTTGATTAAGCATCATGATTTCTTTTCAATGATTTCTGAGAGTAGTCTTGAAGATGGCTACATTAACTGTTCTTGTTAATAACGAAATAGGATTAAAGCGTGCAGTTGCATCTATGTGCACAAGAGGTATTATCTTAAATCTTAGTTGATTTATTTTCTATGCTTGTTAATACTCCAACGTTTGTTTCTTGACACACGTTTTTCCACCAATTCTTATTTGTGTTACAGTATGTAGCGAAGAACTTGACTAAAAACTAGTAATCGCTTTCGAAACCAATTTAAATATAAGGGAAAACACCACTTTATTATAATTTTTATACCAAACCTACTGAATATCAGCTAATATATACTTTGGTTACAGTATAATAATTATAGTAAACAAAAATTACGACTATCTAACAATGATAAAACATAACCTGGATCAATGAATCGGGTTTGCGATGTGATCCTATACGAGTACTAAATGAAATCTACTCCAAAAATCTAAATAAATTAGTCGCTGCTATGCTATAATACTGATTACTATGCCAAAACTTTGAAGGAGAACTCTATTATTTAAACGATTCATGACTGCTAGCGAAGGTGCTCCCCGTGATGAGGCAGTAATAAAACCTTTACTATCATTTCTAAACAAAACTAGCTATCTAATAATGATAAAATCCGGCTACTTTATCTAGGTTATGATTTATCATTATTAAATAGTCGTCATTTTTGTTAGGTATTATACAATATAAAGAGTTATTTAACGAATATATTCCCATTGGGAGGGGGGTAATTCTAATGCTTCAAATGATGATCAAATTCGTAGCCAATTGCTTATGAAGTTAACCAGTTTTGTTCCGATATTGCAATAAAGATTTTATTATTCTACCATAGGATAAAAACTTGACTACTGTAAATCAGTCACTGTTAAACTACAATACTTATCGCAATATAAAAATTCGAAGGAGAATTCTAAAAATTAACTTTCAACACGATAGTTCCTCATACTCAACGCTATAATCTAGCTGCAAACTTATACTTAATTTATACCTGGCAATAGCGACATCATAATTCCAGAGCAAAGTAACAATGAATTACTCATACAATCATCGAAATTTACCCTTTACTTAAAAATAGCTTTCATCATGCATTAAAACAATTTGGTATACTGTAAATGTAAGAACGAATATGGATCATCAAATGGCAGAACGATCTGTTGCAATAGCCAACGAAGAGGCTTTATCTAGGAAAAGAAGTCCTGATGCTTTCTCAACTGATTTTAGAGATGTCTTATATTCATCTAGTGGAGTTCCTTTGGAGATTTTTTCGTTAGGCATTTGAAAGACCTACAAGAGTGAATCATAATTAAATCATGAAACCACAATATTACATCATAGATAATCTAACACAGATTCAAAGGATAAAGATATTAGATTAAAGACTTTCTGACGTAGATGATCGTATTTTATTCGTATTATATATCACATTAAGGTATTCGTACATAAGAACAAGACCAATACCTGAAGTTGTAACTGGGCATTACTTTTTTTTTTTCGATTATCTCCCACTATAATCTTAAAAAAATGAGTAGGAACTGATACATCGTTTTTGCCAATTACCTAACAGTAATAAGATTGTCTATAATCAAATATAATTCAGCAATTCACTTTCTCCTCTTCAATTAATTATTGACGCTGCAATACCTGATATTTAACATATCTTTTTCCATCCTTTTCCGCACTCTCTCTTTAATATAGAAATGATATCGCCGTATTTAATTTTATACATTGTGATGAATTCAATTTTACAATTTTTTACTATTGCAACTACTGCAAGTTACTTTGGGAGATATAGCGGCCCAGTGATAACATAGATATCCGTATACACACGCGTCTGATTTCGAGTATACTCTTCTAATCTCTTCCAAATATCACGATTGAATCCTACTCCAACCTAAAGCAAGTTTACGCATTTGTTAACTATTTCGCACAATCCAGACAGGAAATTCGCAATAAAAATCACTATCGTTGCTCAAATATTTATACAGACCTGCGGACTCATATTACTGAGATAAAATGTATCTTTTAAAGCTTTCAATGAATATCCGTGATCACCTGCTGGTGCCAAATGTCCTCGATCAAAACCGCTGTTTCTATAATCCAGTAGTTATGAAAGACGATAGAACACTAAAGCATAATATAACTTGTCCTATTGAGCAATTGCATCAACTATCATATTAGGATTACAGCTATTATCATGTTTTAACTCTATTCTATTGTATTGTATCAAATAATTTAGAAATTCAATTAAAGCTGTACCCAGAATTCAGAATTACATATATTTCTCTGCCCCTTTATTCATACTACACTGTTGATTAATTACGATTACTCAGGTTGTAATTTCTAGCCTATGTATGTGTACCGGTAGTCTTTTTTTGTAGATCTAAACAAAACTGGTACAGATGTATCCTCCTTGAACATTGATGATTTTCTTTTAAAATCACGTTGAAACACTTTATCTGCGGTTAAATGCTAAGGAAATGAGAAATTAAATTTGAATAGCAAATTTACAACCTACTATAATATTATAATTATATTCTTACGTTTACTGTTATCCATTTTACTTTAATTTCAGAATTGTTGCATTGAAACTATGTAATCTATGCCCTATAGAGAATGATTTATGAAGCCTAAAGGTTTATTCTTAAGGGTACTCGTTATAGCAAACTACGAAACAGTACTGTATATTAAATTTTCCCATTTAATAGAATCAATTACTTTATTTTGCAGCTTACCTCGATAACCCAATTGGCTGTACGATGCACTCGGTTGTATGAGAGGACATAATCCTCTCTAAACTTAAGATTTTCACAGCCTGTGGAGATGGTAATCAATTGTAAAATTAAATTTGTTGTACGTATGCAATAATTAACTTTATTAGCTGCAATTACTAAATTTTCCTATTTTTTGATAGATGCCACAAATTGTATCGTTTTGTCTAGAGTTTTAAGCTACTAGAACAAGTCATCAGCTTTTGAGTACTACCAATAGGACTTAGCTACAACCAAACCGTGTAATGACTAACTTGGAAAGCCGAATTTCATGATCTCTTTCGCAGACGAAGGAATATCGCCAAGTGAACATTTATTATCCGTAGTAGTAACTAGAGATGCCTTCTCTGCAACTATATTCTTGGACTGTGTGTATCTAGAAAGAGGTAATGTACTAATCAATTTCGATATGAACAGCAACTCTTATCGAACGCCATTTGTTTCAACGAAACTTGAGAGCATTGCGATATAGTGCAAGTGTAAATCATTTTAGCGTATTAATAGTCATGGTTTAATAAATAAAATAATTAATTTATTTTTAATGTACAGCAAGAGATTCTTAACCTTGCATTAGGGAAAGCGATAACAATTGTGATAATAATACGTCTGAGAGATACTTTTATGAGTTAACAGGTAGATCATCATGACTATTACGAATTATTGTAACGACAGTATTCAGATTTTTATATGCACGTCTATAATTGACAGTAATTTTATGCAGCGATGCCTTCTAATATATTCATCAAAAAAATCCAAAGATAACATCACGTTAAAATAAAGTTATGTTCGAATAACATTAGACAGAAGCCCCTCAAAATGCATAGACATTTGTACGATTACGAATGGGACAAGATTGCAATCTATCACATCGATCATGGAAGAATCATCTTAGCGATTGCATACTAGTCAATATAACTTATAAAAAATATTGCAATTGCAATTCTATAACACTTCTCCCCAATACTGCTATGTATAAACACTAATTTAGACGTATTTGTAATCAAGATGATGATCTTTATTTGTCCTATATGCAGCAAATAATATATACTGTATCATTATCATAAGGTTGTGGCTCAAGATCACATGGAATTATTGCCCATTTCCTTTGCTAATCTAGCAAATCGATCACGTAGCTTGCTATTCGTTACAACTTTCCTTTTAATACTTGTTTCTGTATTGATATTTCTGACACTACTTTGCCTTTTATCCTACAGATAACTTTCTGATCTACGTGTACAACTTTACTTTGGCTAACTTGTATAGCTCAATTCAGCACTACTCAACTACTTTTTATTCATGAATAATCGCTTCTATAGACCTATGCAGCAGATAATATATAAAGTATGACTATCACCATCAAGGTTATAGCTCAAGGAGATATTATGAAGTTATTGCCATCTTTCTTCGCTGATCCAGCAAGCCTATCGCGTAGCTTGATATTCATTACAACTGTCCTTTTAATACTTGTTTCTTTAATGGTGTAACGACACTATTTAGCCTTTTATCCTGCAGAAAACTTTCTGATCCACGTGTATAACTTTACTTTAGCCAGTTAATGTAGCTCAATTGAGCACTACTCAACTACTTTTTATTAATTAATGAATAATCGTTTATATGAAGTGCTAATCAATCACTGAGTAAATTATTCAACACTCTCAAGATTAACAACAATAAGCCAGTACCGCCTCTGAGAATCTGTTAATCATCACAGTAATTGTGCAGCACTATTCTACCAGCAGTTACAAAAGTTAAAGCAATGCTTCTAATCGTTAATATGCTTTAACATAGAACACAATTTCATCGCTTAAATAAATTAACAAATTATCCGTGATGAGTTTGTTTTCGTCACAATCATACATCAACAGACACAAACGATAGTGTTAGAAGAGCTATGCTAACGAATTGCAAATCGAATTATCCTCTATGCTAGAACGGAATTAATCTACGGAATCAATCTACTAGTCGCTTAAAATAACATTAAATGACGAAAAGCTTATGGTTGTTTAAGCTATTATTAATTATTACTCATGTACTTTACGTATGATACCTATCGAAATAGTTGCCCATAAGTCCACCCAAGCAGAAGATTGTTGGCAACAATAAGCTACGTAATTGTGCCATCACGGAGTTCGACTAATTCTTTGGTGTTGATGTTAAAATTCTTATCCTGATGACAGTGGAATTAATTTCTTGCTCAGTTATCGGGTTAGAAAACTGTCTTGGACAGTATTATCCTTACACTATACAACTATAAGTAGCTAAATAAAAAAAAATCGAGCGAATGGGTTTATGCGCCCTCGCTTTTATTGTCCAAACAATAAATATTTTTTTTGTGCTGCTCATACAGACTTTGGCTATACTGTTTATAACTCATTGTCTTGTTCTACACTAAATGGCATACTATATGATGATAAGTATACAGTAATTACAATAGATGAATATATAATTTACCATGCAGAACCCTCAATTATCCGGAAATGCTTATTTATTCATTTAATTTGGAATTAGTCCCATACTAAGCTACCAAGCGATTTCGGATTGTTGGAAATGATATTAGGGGTCAGGGAGTCAGCCTTTAGCTGTAGAGCACATTAGATAGAAAAGTCCCTGAAACGTCTTATTAGATTACTTATTATGGCTTTGTCTATCATTTGATTCAAAAATTAAAATAAAATGATTTATATCCAGTGCACTAAAGGTATTTGTTATACCACACTCATTCCTATTAATATCATAATTCTGTCCGTATAGCAACCTGTTTGAATTATATTATATTATTAATTAGCAGAGTAAAAATCCTTTTTAGATCCTGCTTTACCTTTGCCAGGATATTTAGACAGAAAGATCGCAGTGATTCACAACTTTTAGACTGCCAAACCTGATGTATCAGCAACTATAAACACATACAAGCAGGGATGCAAGGGTTTTAGTTGATTAATTAACACCTTAACATTGATCGTTCCATAGTATTTGAATCACTTTGAAGTTTATTTCAACGGTAAAACAATGTATATCTCGTACGATTATGTTTGTACATAATAATATACTTAAAGCCATCTATAATTACCTGATTGATTGTAGACAGATTAACCTTCTTCTCTGATATCTATGCAAATGATCACTTTAACAATATGCAGCCTGCATGAATATTTTATTAGTAATTATATACGAATTCCGGAAGCAAATGCCGCACCACAATCTAGCTACAAGCCCCATTAATCTAGATCTTGTAATTGTAACAAGTTAGTACAATCACAGTATAAAGAAACAATAAATTGCTCATACAATCATCGAAATTTACTCTTTAATTAAAAATGGTCATCATCATGAAAGTAATTTGGCATGTCAATAAGAGATAAGAGCAAATGTAAATCATCAAGTAGTAAGACGTCCTTGTTTAATAGCTGAGCGAGAAATTTTATCTAGAAAAGTAAGTCCTGATGCTTTCTCAACTGATTCTAGAGGCACCATAAAAGCGTGTAGCGGAGTATCATCGGGGATACTTCTGTTCGGTATGAGGAAGACCTACATGGGTGAATTAAAGTTAAATTATAAACTACAACATTACATCACAGATGATATAACAGGGGCTCAAAGAACAAATGTTAGAATAAAGACTTTATAAAGTAGATAACCGCATTGTACTAAGAATTGTACATTACAACAGCGTATTCGACATAAGAATGATATCAATTACCTGGAGTTCCAATTTAGCATCATTTTTTTCTTTTCGACGATCTCCGACTACAATCTTAAAAAAATGAGTAGGAACTGATACATTGTTTTTGCCAATGACCTAACAAGAATAAGATTGTAAGTAATTATGTTAAAAGCCCAGATATAAAGCTTCTTTCTCTTCCATCGTTGACGTTGCAATACCTGATATTTCACATATTTTTTTCCATCGTTTTCCACACTACATGTTTAATTAATATGGAAATAATATCACTATACTCAAATTACATAACGTAATTCAATCGAATTTACATTTATTGACCAATAAAACTACTACAGTATTAGTTACAGAGGAAGATATAGCGGCCCAGTGATAACATAGACATCCGGATACACTTTGGTCAGACTCCGAACCTGCTGTTCTAATCTATTCCAAATACCGCGATTGAACCCTTCTCCAACCTAAAGTAAATTTACGTATCTGTTAATTACTTCATGTAGCACCGACAGCGAATCCAAGGCATGAGTCAATATCGTTCATTAAACGTTTCTACTGACCTGCGGACTCATATTGCTAAGATAAAACGTATCTTTCAAAGCATCCTGTGAATGTGCATGATTACGTGCTGCTGCCAAATGTCCCCGATCAAATCCGCTTTTGCTATAGCAGATAGGAAACACAATAAGATCCCAAACATATCATAATAAGTCTTATTAAGCAATCGTATTAGTTATCCTATTAGGACTGCAGCGACTAACTATTAGGTTGTAACTCTACTATATTATCTTGCATTATATTCAATAACGTAGCAAGTTCGTTAATGCTGCATTATTACAGAGCTACGTGTTATTTTCATACTGCTTTATCCATGGAACAATGTTTATCAATCATGATTTATAAGCGATTTCCAGGTTACATACGAGTAGTCTTTGTTTGTAGATCTAAACATTTCAGGTACAGATAAATCTTCAGTAAAGATTGATTCGCTTCTGTCAGCATTGCGTTGACGCAGTTTATCCGAGGTAAGATGCTAATGAAATAAGTGACATTACATTTACAGTTAGCTAATCCAGTTAAATTTTATCTTAGAATTTCTCGATCGAAGCTATGTAATCTATGTCCTATGTGAAACAGTTAAGGAAACCTAGTGTTAACTTGAAATATATTCGTTGTAGCAAGCAGTGCGCTGTTTATTGTATCTTCCCATTCACGATAATTAATTACGTTACGGCTTACCTCAATAACCCAATTTGCTGTACGATGCATTCGGTTATATGAGAGAACATAATCATTTCTAGACTTGATGTTTTCATAGCCTGTAAAGGCGATAATATCATTAGTTGTAAAATCAAATCTACGTATGCATCAACTTTATCAGCTGCAATTAGTTAGACTATTCTATTTTGTGATAGATGTAATATATAGTATTACATCGTTTTGTCTAAAATTTTAAGCTATTATAACTTGTCATCAACTTATGGGTACTATCGACGTGATTTAGCTACAACCAATTACTAACTTGGAAAGCCAAACTTCATTATTTCACTCGTAGGCGAAGAAGCAGCAATTGAAGATTTACCATCCTTGATAGTATCTAGAGATGCCCTGGCTGTAACTGTATTGTAGGGGTGTAGGTACCTAGGGGAGGCGATGGATTAACAATTTATGTCTATGAGAGTATTTTGTAAAGCTACAGAAACCCTTATCGAACGCCACCACTAGCTTCGATGAAATTTGAGAGTACTGTGACATAATGCAAGTGCAAATTATTCTATCATGTCAATGGTAATGATTTAATAAAATCGTTGATTTATTTTCAATGTACAGCAAGAGATTATTAGCTAACTGCGTTAGGAAAGGAATAGAAATTGTGATCATATTTCTGGAGATAATTTCACGAGGTAATAGGTTGAATCATCACGACTATTACCAACTATTGGTATTACCACATGCAGATTTCTTTTTGCATGGTTATAAGTGATACAGTGATTTTGTGCAACCATGCTTTACGACTGTATTACAGCAATTGAAAGAATTTAAGATAACATTGCGTCCAAATAAGATAATGTTGCAATAACGTAACATATAGGTTAAGCCAAACAAGATTATGGACTACTAAAATATTCCCCTAAATGTCAAGATCTGTACAATGTAGAATTGTACATTTACGTTACTGCAGTGCGATTATGAATGGAGCCCAATTTCAATGTATCCAATCGATCATGGAAGAATCATGGCCATTGTATACCAATCAACGAAACTTGTAGAACTATTACAACTGTAATTTTAGAATGTTTTACCCCTAAAACTGCTATATACCAACACTAATTCATTCGTATTAATATCAAGATGATGACAGTAGATCATGCTATGCTGTGTACATATCATACGTATATCAACAACTAACAACAGCAAACCATACTGTATTATAACAACTTTATTCACTGCAAATTGAACTATCCTCTATATTTAGTTCTACGTGTATCATGAATAGAGTATAATTAATCCACTAGCAGCTTACACTATTAATACCAAATGGAGAAAAAGATTGTGATTGTATGAATTATCATCCATTGATGATCATATACTTGACGTACCTATCGAAATAGACGCCCATAAATCCACCCAAGCAGAAAGTGGTCGGCCATAACAAAGCGCGAAATCGTGCCATGATTGAATTCAATGAACTTTTTCTCGTAGTTTATGCTAAAAGCCTTCGCTTGACGACAGTGAAATAATTTATGTCCAGCTAGCAGGTTAAAAACCTACCTTGTCATATCCTCATGCAGTAGCAAGAAGAAATTGATCGCAGTTACCGCTATTATCTCAAAGTCTAGCCGTTGCAAAACTTTCAATTTGTTGCTCTACCGATTGAAGACTAGTGGACAAACATCATACTTAATATCTCGAGGTAGAAATGTTGACAACCAGCTCGCAATGTATCAGTAATAAGTTGCAGTTCTTGGGCCTCTCGTACCTGTATGCAAATTAAAATCATCATGGAGAGAGTATGACTTTTTACCGGTCCTCTCGATTACTACGGACGGTAGAGCTTTAGTGACTACTTTATGCAGACTAATCGAAAGTAACAAGTAGTAGTGTGCAAAATGAATTGTCACCCCTTGGCCAATGTTCAGCGAATACAGGATCGCAATCCACTATTAATAACAGCTGGGACTACTCAAACTAATTTCTCCTTAATAAGAAATGAAAGGGAATGACAATTCATATCGTTCTTTAACTAGGTTAAAAAAAGTGATTATTCCTTCGTTAGCTATTGCAGTTAAAGCCAGTGAGACAATAGTTCTTACAGTCTAAATAAGAACGATGCATTTAGTCTTTGGTTCTTGGCCGTGAACTAGAAACTATTATACTGTACAATTCGATATTTGGCAAAAATGGAAAAGGTCATAAAAAAAGAGTCTCGTTGCCGTTGGTCATCCATTTACTAAATTCTGTTTAGAATAATCGCTCAAATATAGGTCGGTACACTGCATTGTAGATTTGTAGTCCAGGTAAAGACTGAATATTTCGCAATATGATAAAGCTTACAAAATGGAAACGGTGATGAAATGATCCATGCAGGTTATTACATTAGCTCTGTACCAATAACATCTTAAACTCGTTAACAACCTTGTTTTCCTCCTTCATCTAACTACATATACCCATATTCTATAATTTAATATTGCAACGGATATGTTTACAGTTAAAAGCACCATAGAGAGTATTTTACGTCTTCTCTCAATCACTACCGACGGTAACATTTCAGTGATTATAATGCAAGGCATTTTATCTTTGGTTCTTGGCCGTGAACTAGAATCTACGATACTGTACAACTTCGATATTTAAAAAAATTGAAAAGGTCATAAAAAACAGAATTCGCTGCCGCTGGTCATCCCTTTGCTAGATTCTACTCAAAATAGATCGTTATGGACCTACTGTGCAAGTTGCGATATCCAGATAAACAATCAATTTTCAGATTACTGTATAATAAAATTTACAAAAATCGAAATGGTGATAAAACTAATCACGTCAATTATTCCATTAGCTATGTACCAATTTAAGCTCGTTTACTACCTTATTTTCTCTCCCTCCTTATAGCAACATACACGCATATTTTCTGTAATTTAATATCGCAACGGATGCGTGATGCTAACTTTTACATACAGCTGAATGACATTGCGATATTTAATGTGCCATGTCTATTTATACCTTGTGCTTGTATGGCTCACCTAGTTTGTATCAGTCAAGTACAGTTTTAAGGCTAGTATTGCCCCTAACGTTTTATGCGATCTCTAATCTACATTAATCTACTTTTCAAGGGCATTCTTAGCTTAGTTGCTAGGCGAGGGTGGAAAATAAGTATTCTACATGGAAGACCCTGCCAAAACTCTTTGCTGCAAGCAGATCAATCTCAATAATAACTGTACAAAAACGGTTTATTTCTTACAGTGCCAGAAACAGTAATAGAATATAGAATAGAAGAGTGAAAAGTTAAAATTTCGATCGCATAACCTCTGGTTTATTACGAATGTTGCGCAGACGAAGACTATCTTGAAAAATTTCATTGACACCTATGGAACAAAAACTGTCCATCAGCAACAAGTAATAAATTATAGTGTAACCAAAAGTAATTTAATTTAATTGACAAGCAAAACTATAAATTACATTTCAAGCTTGACTGAATAATTAAATTGGGTCAACTCGTTCAACGAACGAGTAGACAATATTGAATGCTGCTATTATTACAGTAAAATGGATTGCAGCTTAAATGTCGATGACTATCACCCAATAACACAAGCAAATCTTTCTCAACATTTTAAAATAAGTCGGTATAACCATACAGTATCGATCATTCCACGAGATAATCTACTGAGATTTTGCTATTATTGTACAGACCTAAAATGCCTTTACTTTAACTTTTTTTCCAAAACGTAAGCGTCCGATGGCTCGATACGTTTATAGTAACTTGACTTTGTTTCAATCACTTCAAATCCAAAATTTTTATAAAAAGCCATGGCAGTATCATTATTGATTTGAACGTGTCTGTAGTGAAATAAAAGTAAGAATAATTCTCAATTAGACAATCCTAGCAAGCGCTAGGAAAGCCAATTACTCGCACACAAACAGTAAGTAAAGCTATCTCGATCATCATCAAATTTATAGATGCTATGTATTAAAATTGGCCTCCGTCTACATAATCATTCATTAACATTGCCAGTAATTTTATACTTACAGATAGACACTATCAATGTGGCCGTCGGTTTCCGCTAACTTTAACACATGTTTCAACATTACAGTACCTGTGAAGGAACATGAACAATAATTAGTCCGTTGAATTTTTATAGCTACTGGCTGAATGTAATTTGGTAGACGTTGGTATCGATTTGATAAAGATTAAAATTGTAGTCATTATTACACTAATGTCCATTTTATTTTTGTCCACGTAGAACTGAACATTTTATTGGACACCTATTATTCTAGAATATTTCATACAAGACATACCAATTCCAAGGCAACGATATGCAGCTAAGCATCCCAGTGTCATTATATAAAGTCTGCGACGATTATCTGACGAGTCTACACGGCAGCAGACTCCTCCAACAATAATATCATTATAAAATGCTAGAAGAATAAATAAAGATAATTCTGTCAGCATCCTTCAATGTAAAATATTGGATATTAAACAGGCTTTGCAGGTAGTGATGTCATCAATCTTTCATACAGTGATAACCTTGCAAGTACACACATAGTCCTTATATAATTATGTATTCACCACTAGCTATAGAATGCGAGTTATGTTATATGGACACTGTAAGCGACGAATTGTATGAGAGAGTACATCACTGTTATTAATGAAGGTAAGCCATAGGAAGATTAACACCTCCGCCGAAACGAATTGCATGATGACACTGTACTCGTACTTTGCTAATAATGGTGCATAATAAAATTGAAGTATAATAACGACTAACTCTATACAAAACTTGTCATGATAGCGATGCCTACATACCGAATTTGGCATAATCTCCAGAAGTTAAGACATCCTTGTAAAACTAGTTTGCAAATACATTTCAGAAGATGATGATAGCACAAGTTAGTCATGGGTAAGTAAACTCTTCAGTATGATCATAGCTAGCTTGCAACAAATGAACGCGAACAGTAGATTACAATTTGATATGAAAATAAGTTTCAAGCATCGCATTCTCTACAAGTCCACTTGGATACTCCAAGCTTATGCAGGTATCGATGCGAATGATTCAGTTGGATCAAGTAAGCTTTGCATCTAGTGAGACTTACCTTCTCGTTGTAAGATACTGGAAAGATGACAGAGTTTAGCTTTTTTAATTGCTTGACATTATGTGGAGTGATATCACCTAATTCGATCATGCCCCTGTATCATAGTCAAGATGAAAAATAGATTGATGACAAGTTAGCAAAAGACATTAGTCTTGATGAAGGAGTGCCACAAAGTAGCGCTAGCAAATGAGCGTGATCTTGTGGCTTAAGTACTAGGATATACTTTAACATCGCTCTATCCCTAATCCTCCACCGACTGGGTCGAGTATCCTATCGTAATTGATGAATCAGTCTAACTATTTTATGCTCTTTAATGAACATCCTTTCATCAACTCTTGTTCGTCAACTACTTCAAGTTAACAACTATCCGAATACAGTATCTCCATTTGATCATCAAGCCATTTCGCTACTGCATGAACCCTCTAGTTGGATCTTTCCATCCAACATAGACGAATCGATCAACCTGTATCGTTCTATCTAATTGTAATATTAGCCTCCATCAACAATCCAATGGCGAGCCCTTACCCAGACATGCTATCCTGATTTTCGGTATCCGCTGTCATCATAAGCTTTGCAATGGTTTAGGCAAGCTTTCACGGCAGTATCCAACGATTCCAAGCAGCAGGCAATCAACTAAATGGAATGGAATTGCTAAGGAAAGCAAAGGCAATCTGCAGAACGATTAGATGCAAGCCCAGAACGCACCAATTTCAACTGGTGTCGAGCTGGCGGGACTTTTCCCCTTTATCCTCTACCACCATCGCCATCAGTGGGTCATTTTTCAAGTCAAATGGACTCTTGCTAAGGGGTGTTTTCAGTAGTACACCATGGCCAAGAGACAAGGTGAACGCTGCCAATACTATCGGTATCATGATATTGAGTGTAGGACCTTTCCACTGCAAGGGTAGTGTCGCCATTGACTGCTTTCAACATACGACACAGTATAGTATTGTCAAGGCAAGTAAGGTGTTTGTCTCCAAATGCCTCCAACCACCCAAAACACGACGACTGACCCCTCGTGCGCAGCATCGGTGCTTTCTTTGTCACGGTACTTTGCATCGTAGGGTACCGTACAGTTGCAGTAGTGTACAGTACTGTACTGTACATTGTATGGTACACCGTACAGGATCGGACTAGACTCTTGAAACTTCACACTGTGACTAATATGACTATAGCCTATACTGTACTGTACAGTGTACAGTGCACAGTACTATACTGTACAGTACAAGCCGTTGGGCCAGGACTTGGTCACAGTTGGTACAGTACAGTACAGTACTAGACTAGATCCGACTATCGAAACTTCACACTGTGACTACAGCCTATACAGTGTACAGTGTACAGTACTATTCTGTATGTACTGTACTGTACATTGTACTGTACATACTCTACAAGCCGTTGGGCCAGGACTTGGTCACAGTTGGTACAGTACAGTACAGTACAGTACTGGACTGGATCGGACTATTGAAACTTCACACTGTGACTACAGTGTACTGTACTGTACAGTACATTGTACAAGCCGTTAGGACAGGACTTGGTTACAGTTGGTACAGTACAGTACTGGACTGGATCGGACTATGGAAACTTCACACTGTGACAGTGTGACTACAGCCTATACAGTGTACAGTGTACAGTACTGTCCTGTATGTACTGTACATTGTACAAGCCGTTGGGCCAGGTCTTGGTCACAGTTGGTACAGTACAGTAGTACCGGACTGGATCGTACTATGGAAACTTCACACTGTGACTACAGCCTATACAGTGTACAGTGTACAGTACTGTCCTGCATGTACTGTACTATACAGTACTGTACATTGTACAAGCCGTTGGGCCAGGACTTGGTCACATGATTCGACTCTGCCTTTGCGGCTTGAGCGAGTAAGGAAAAGAAGGAATTTTAAGCCAAATGTCTGACAGCGAACTAATGGATACTGGACGTACAAGTTGGATGGGGTGTACGGAGCAGTCAACTCATGTTGGATAGCACGAGATAGGATAGTTTTGATCAGAGAATTAGTTCGCCTCCTCCTTTCGCTAAGCTGTTGCTATTCGTTTGCTTTACTGTGGTTGATTACTTCGTCACCGTGTCCGCCTTACAACTTGAAGTCAACTATTGTCGCAAATGGCGAGCTTAGATATCAAGCTGAAGAGACCCAATAAAACCTATCAGCCTGGTGTAAGTGATTTTTCCATACGGTCTGAAATCAATCAACTGTTTCCAGTTGCAAGCAGTAATTGTACACACCGTCTACAATCTTGTTGCAGGCAATCCAATGTTGTTGATTCACGCTTATGTGTAATATTCAATCATTCACTCATCAGTACTTTCTATCGCTTAAGCCAAAGGTGTACAGTATATCTAGGATAAAATCCAATCATAATATGAATCATAGCAATCTGAACTGCTCCAAAGACATCCGATAGCAAATAGGATACAACTCACCTTGATCCATCGATTTTACTCTATCTCAGATACCACGGTAGTAAAGTAGAACTTGTAGCATCAAGAAATACATTGTACCAGTATATACTCTGAAAGATGCACATCTTATTATAATAGACAATTTCTGTTATTACTGTCTACTCAACATGGCACTGTTCGATGATATACTATCCGATCAATGCATTGCCGATCGCTTCTGCCATTGATGTTGGTTTAACACAATATCCCCCTTTGCAACAATTTGCCCTATTTTATACTTCCTAGTGATAAACCAATTTCATCGTTGGCATGCTTACAGTTAAACGAGTCATGATGCATTTGTAACCCATTCAAACTAACCTCAACGTGAAGCCATTCCATATCACAACAAATAATGGCGTACGACAAAAGCTGTTTTGAAAAGCAAGTTACCTGGCTTAAATAGCCTCCCATGCATTATATCTACATTGTACAGCATATATTTGCAATGAGACATACGAATATCATGAAGGCATTCGATATCACTACAAATAATCACGAATAACTATAGCTGCTTTGAAAAACGAATTACTTGGCTGAAATAGCCTCCCTTATATACATGTACTGTATATGCTACGTATATAGTTATAATTAGACATACTATGCTTTCGTCATGTTGAACTGGATGTACCGCAATGGGTCGATATCCCTGCTGTACTGTAGAGTGTAGACACTTTTGAAAGTTTTCCATAGCGTTGGCTGTATACAATGAATGATACATTCTCTGCAAATAAATCATGACATTAGCTTCTATCCTATTCGCCGGATACGATGCCCATCAATGATTATCACCATATAACTAACGACAATGTTATTACATAATGATTGACAACATTGATTTCCAATTCTACCATTTTACTTCATCTAGGAAAACATCAAAGGCAACATCGCTATCTCCAGTAAGGGTGATCTATCGCATAATGGCATCACGTTATTTGTAGAAGGCAATGTAAATTTACACTTGAGTGCAAAGAGTGTTGGTATGTTTGAAGCTTTCTACAATTCCGTCAAGCCCATACAATTAATCAACTATTCGGTGGAACTGGCTGGTCCTGGCAAATTATACCAAAACGTTTCATGCATTTACAAAATCTTTATAGTATTGGCAATCAGTGATCATTTTAATTGCCTATTCAACTTTTTTTATCATTATATAGATACATACTATAGAAGTCAATCATACAATAAACAGGCAGTTACAAAGTAGTCAATTTCCTTAAATGCAATAGGCAGTAGAAAAAGTCAAAGTGGTCACATTACGTGATTCTGGAACTTTCTATGAAGTACAGATATAGCATTCAAACATTGCCTAATACAAATATACATATAGGGCTTTTAGACGCTGAACATGAAGCTTGCTTTAAGACAAAATCGTAATGTAGGAATCGTCAATACCAGCATTTTATAAAGCAAATTATTCAAGCTTGATCATTCAGCTGTGTGAAAATGTAGTCTCTATGTACTATTTAATATCGACGTTGAGTTGGCTCATATAGTGAGATAATCAGTATACTACTTACCTGATAAGAATTGCTATGATTTCGGATATCTTCTAGGCAGTTATTGTAATCATTACAAACGTTTTTTGAATATAATTACTAAATTTCTACTTGTAAAAAATATCAAATTTTTCATTTCCAATGAGCTCTTATGAACAAGATTTAAATGACTATGCAGATGTTCCATTCTTTCCTTTTTATTATCTACGCCATCTGGAAAGCTTGAATTCCCATTTGAGGTTCCTCTAGAGCCCAAAGGCAATAAGAAGCTGTTCGATACGTACCACGGAGTGTTTGTTAATATACAGGTAATGAGCGTATACTTAAAAATTTGACAGCAAGCGAGAATTATGCGCGTAGATATGATTAAGTAAATTTTTACAACCCACTGTACGAGTATATCTAGTACTTCAAGATATTGAGAGCATCGTATTAAAAATTGCCGCCGCCAATAATAGCATCAAGCATTCGTACCATATCATATAATACGGTTCATGCTTAGCTAACAAGGTGGATACAGTATCTCAGAGGTGGTAATAAATCTTATTAGACGAATAGTCATCTCCTTGTTATGAGACATTCTCCACATCAAGATACTCTTCTATCGTGGTGGTTTGTGTACCATTATTTCTGTAGCGATTTACCGCTATATCATTTCATACCAGCTTTTAAGCAACATACTGTACAAAATCAATTATAGTGATTCGCTATGTACTTGTTGTTTCCCATCCCAATTACTACAATCGCTGAGACTGAATTCCATTACAAGCATGTGACTAACCGGTGGTTCCTGTGCTATTATTAATTTGTACTAGTATTCATCGTTGGTTGTCAGTGAAATTAATACTCTAACCAGTTTTGGGCTAATGGGCTAATATGAAATTAATGATCATTAAACTTACTAAAATCGATGGACATCATCCAACATGTCTTACGTACAAACGTGCACAGGACAGAATTACTGATCATATTTTTTTTACCATTTTAAATCGTTGCAGTATTCAATCAGGTGTGAAATTAAACGCTCCATGTTGACTAAAGACATGGTTAAACAACTAGAATTTGTTGTTGAGCAGGTAATTACTATCAGCTAGCGAGCATCATTCGCTAATAAAATGCTAACTTCCTTACTTATTAATTGCTATCAGAGTCACGACACCACTGATCGTAAACAGACAGTAGTCAATTTCGAAGTTACACCAAATACATTGGAAAATGTAAAGGAGGTAGGTATATCAAGTAAATTAAGGAACAATAACCTGACGCAAGCAAAATAAGCAAAAATTGACACCAACATCAAGCATAAAATCTTTACTCAATAATTGAAATTTTCGACATTATTTTGTGTACAGAAAGTATTGCCTAATTTCAAATTAACAGGAAGGCTTGATACTATTTGTTGCAATATAACCGAACCTTTCACCGGAGAGGTAAAAATACAAACATTGTTACCCAACAGATGGGTACAACGCAAACAATTGATATCTTATTAAATTAAATCTAATTCAATTTCAGCTGATAGTCGAAAATTCTGCAAGTCTTATCAAATCGATCGAACTACAACTTGTCAGGGTTGAAACATGTGGTATGTAAATTATATCGACATAAGTAGAATCTAATTACGACTTTAAAATACTATTGCATAATCAATAGCTACGCTAAATTTTAGCTCCGATTTGTTAGCTTAATCTTAATGGATAATAGGTTACGGAAACATAGTAATTGGCCTTGTAACATACTAAAACCAAAGCAATCGTAATGAAGTAATTGTTACTATTCTCTACTATGATCACACTTATACAGGTTGTGCTGAAGGTTACGCAAGAGACGGTAAGTCATCCTAACAGCATAAAAGTAAAAATTAAATGTAAATTACATACAATCCTGGATTTGGTCGCTTCTCACCAAGTGTTACCACGCGCCTGTTTTATACCTATCGATATAATTAATGATTGATGAGTATTATAATTATCTTAACATATCATTTATATTTACTGACATTTAACGTAAATAAAACTGCAGCAACCGAGATACAAAATATACAGGCAAGTACAACTTCGGAGAGTGATCGCTTTTTTTTATTTGACTAGATACTTTTAACGTATGAAATGCTCTTAAATGATCGTTTATTCGTTTTTTAGATAGGAGAAGGGAATGTATGCCATAATGTGCCCATTCCCATTTACATGATCTTCCCAAGATTGTTCACTTGTCCAACACTGATTACTAACAACTTTAAAGTTGGTACGTTCTGCATGCTCAAAAGTACTCAATAAAACTGTCATATTAAGCGAACTGTGATGTATAATCTGTACTGATATATAAAATACTAATGTTTTAGAATTTGAAGTCAATATCGTCATGACATTCAACAACGACCATCAAATTACAGAAAATTTTCCAATTCAATTATTCAGAGCTTGATTATATACTTCTCTTAATTACAACGACAATCTCTTTATCTGTAATTACTGTAACTACTTATAACAATACGATGGTACACAACTGCTTTTGTATAGTCTGTATATTACTATTAACAATCAGTAAACGAATATTACAATTTTAGACGCGAAATACTGTATTACAGTATTACTATCAATAAACGTAGTATTTTACCAATAAACCCTTGAAAATAAGGCGATACAGAAAAATTCTACGTTTTCATTTTGGCTATCATTGTACATACCATCTATTGCTTCCGTAGCAAAGTATCTCACGTCAACATCAGTATCGGTTATCAATTTCTCTAGGCAGGGCTTCACTTTAGACTGCAATTCGCTGCATCAAAAAAAATGAAACTTCAATTTACGCCACTACAGAGATTTAATAATTCGAAACTATAAAGTTTATGAAACATTCAATAATTCAGCTTATTTTTCATACCTATCTTCCAAGTGTGGCTCCAACTGAAGTAAAGTCTTGGCAATATTAAAACGAACGTTGGGAACGCTATCGCTTCCCATATTGATAAGAACAGGTAACATTGTTTTCGAGGTGATATCTTTACCACATACATCCGCTAACACCTGTCGTTACATTAACGCCATTATTGTCAATAACATATGCATCATTGCCTACGAGAATCAAGTAAGCAAGTGCACTATTCAAAGCAATTAACTTCTCTCCCTTACGTTAATAGCAAATAGTGTAGTCAAACGATGTAAGTAATTCTGATTTCTCGACATATTCAAAACCTTCGGCATCAGTGTATTCTGTAGGGAGTTAAAGTGCCTTTAGAATATGACAAAATGCTGCAATAGAATTCTATCTGCGTAATCCTACTTTACCTGTGCCCACTCTTTGCCAAACTCTTCCACTAATTTCTTCAAATTTTTCGTAGCAGCCTCACGAATTGCATAAACTAACACAACAAAATTGTGCTCCTTAGTAACATTTTAAATAGTATTTAAAATGCTAATATGCAATTACTTACCACTATCAGATAGCCAGGTCATGCATAAGTTATTCAATTTTTCGTTAAAAAAGTCAATACCCTAAAGAGAAAAGATAGAAATTTTTAATTTTACTGCGTAGCGAAAATGACGCTACCATTAGCTACATCACGTACCAGTTGGCCGGCCAGTAAAGGTATATATTCTATAATAGCTAAGCGAACACGCCATTTAGAATCTTCCGCTAAGTCAACAATTGCAGGAAGTAACGACTGGGAAAGTTGGCTTACTCCAATGACTATAAAGAACATGAAACTTCTAAGTTGAAAAATAATTTACTTTCGTAACATCAACACATACACACTTACCTTTATTTACGCATTCTAGGTTTGAAATTATATTTAGACGCACTTCAGGACACTAAATAGAAATATACGGAAATCAGTCTATACAATATTTTTCCAAATGGAAGATACAAACTCAAAAAAATTCGTAGAAAGCAATATCTCACCTCATCTTTTAATTGCGTAAGGAAAAGGGGTAGCAAGTGTTCAATGGTTCTATCAAAATGATAACATAATACTATTAAACTGTATATAAGTTTGTGACAGGTCAATCTGTCTATGCATCCACATCCTTATCCTTACCCATCTCTGCCTAAAATAGCTGACAGGCCCATAATTGTAGAAGCCAATGCAGATTTTACATGCTGATTAGGATCATTTACCAATTCCTGATTGGAATTATTTCAATGTTGACGAACATTAAAATCATAGTCAAAAAATGTCCGTATATCATAATAGTATACCTTGACACATGGCAAGATGCTATTCATTAAGATTTGCTCTTGGCAATCTTTTGGCAAGGCATCACAAAAATCTAATTTATCAAAAATATAAATCAACATTAGTACGAAAAAATTGGTCAAAACAATAAGTTTTAAGGGTATTACAAGATAACAGTGTACTGATTGTATCTTCTTTACCTTTGACTTTGTGAGCTGCAGCGGCTCTAACTTCAGCTTCAGCATCGCGCAGCAAGTGATGGTAGGCATTGACCAAGTCATTTTTAGTAATGTCAAACTTTACAGCCTTTTGCAACTAAAATTACAAAGTATTCGGAATAAAATGTAGACTCAACGATTAAAAAATAATCTTTACACTGAAAGTGTGGAAGTGAAGTTTTATATACCTGAGTAAACTTGTCAGCTACCATGTAACGGACACGCCAAGATTTATCCTAAACAAATCCATAAGTTAAAATTATCAATTTATCAATTGACTAAATATGCACATTAATCAGGAACTAATCCAGGCTAACATGGTACTACAAAATATGCAATTACATACCTGCATAATTGCTCGAATAGTAGGCATTAACAATTCTTCAATTTCGCTAGTGTTGAGTAAACTAGCAATTGCAATACTAGCTTCGACAGTTAACAATCGCACAGAATCCTATTGAAAAAATAGTACAATATAGGTAAGTCTCTCATACACAAATGCAAATGATCATGCAAATAATTAAATTGCTACGAAACATAGTTTTAAAATCTTAAAAGTGTATCTGTGTAGGTACCATATAGGCAAATGAGTAATAATAAAGTCAAACCTGATCATCACCAGCAAGAGCAGTGAAAGAAGGTATAAGATCAGCCTTTACTTGATCGCTTTCGCATACTTTTGCAAATTCCTAAACTAAAAAGTTGAATAAAATTGATAACAGTTCGAAGACAGAATTACCATGAACAGGGCGTTTCCACAGTAATAAATATATTAGACAGGTTCGCAGGTTAATAACATGATACTTACACCTAGTTTTCCAGCAGCAGCTCTTCGTACCATTGGCGTATCATCATTACAAAGCATCTTGTAGTGGCTAAAATGTTGAACAATTGACAATTTTTAAATATAGAAATATTTCCGGGATACATAACATGATACAAAAGTCATGCACGAAAAATACTCGTAACAACTTGTTATAATGTGCTGTATACTGCATACGTCAATTACATACTTCCTGAGTTCACTCTTAACATTCGGATTGACGCGAGAATAGCAAACTGAAAACAATCCACAAGCTGAAGTTCTAGACGTAAACCAATCTCCTTGTGACAACCTCTTTACTAGTGGTACAAAATGTGATTCTAAATCCTTGGGCTTATGTTCAACAGCAATATTTCTTAAAGATTCAACAGCCTATCAATAATTCATGAATATGATTAACAACAATAAAACGCTGTTTCTATATCAATACATACAAATCCACCAAACGTAGCAGATTACATCATCAACATACTTTATCTCGAACAACTGTTTCTTCAACGGTTGCTAGACTTTCCAATGGAGCCTACAAGTACAACGTTAATTCATAATAGTCACTTCAGGTAATAGTAAAACTACTAATTGAAAGTGAAAATATATAGTATCACAAAATAACTATATCATGACTTGTTAGTAATATCATGTAACTATATTTACTTACGAGAAGCACGTAGACGTGATCTGATCCACCTACTAATGGAGTAAAATTTCCAAGCTAAAGCAAAAAATAAAGTCTGATTGTAAGCATGTATACAATTAAAATATTAAGTAAGAAAATCTGTAGACTGTAAAGATTCCTCGACTAATTCATAAACTTCCTTGCTACCGTACCACTAATATTTATATGACATTATTACAGAAATAACATGTTACTTACTTGCTCCGCCAAGGCTAACAAGACTTCATCCTCATCGTAAATAGTATCTATAGTAAAAATTACGATTATAAATACGTATGATAGCATTTAATTTATTTAACTTTGCGAAAATTATATGTCATAAGTATTGCGCTCAAGTAGAAATGATCTTATAGTGAATTAGAAGGTGTAACGGCTAGATCATATAAAGTGGAGTAAATCAATGTTAGAATTAATAAAATCGCTTATGTATCATTCGTTACATACGTACACAGTGCACCCAAAAAAAGTAGTATGAATCACCAAACTATATTAGGGTAATATATCACGCCCACCCGACATTTAATGTTTAATATTTTACATTTCCAAAACAGCTTCACACGAAGCAAAATCGTTTTTACGAAGATCATTATTAACCTACAATATCATACCGTATCAGATAATAAAGTACAGTTTATTGCATAATAATTAAATAGCGGGCGTATAATATATATCATACTTTTAATAACGACCCATATCGTACACCATGCAGTACATTTTTAGAGGTTACTGAATTCTTTACGCAAAAGCTGCAAAGAACAGGTTCAAAGTAGAACAACTTTTGTACTAATCAATGAAACAATTTATAACGAGAAAGGCGGAAAACTACGTCAATATTAAAATACATTTACTGTTCGTGTAAGAAATTTTTGGAAACAGTTAACCCGTAAGATACAGCACTATAAAAGTTTACATTTACGGCAACAGCAGTTGCAAAGTAACATCGAAAATATTATTATTCTGTCTTACAATGACCTATAGATACCGATCAACAACGGCTTACAACCGTGCTGTATTCATTAAAAAGCATTAAAGCATATCGCGGTATATTATCCCTTTTATAGTATTTACGTAGACTCCAATTTAAATAAAGTAAAATGCGTAATACAGTAGTATGATAGTTACTAATGCTTTAAATTACATAAACGTTCCCAATAATAGACTTGGGAATCCTAGTAGTATGACAGATATGCAGTGCAGTACTGTACACGAAATATTTTTTTAAGATTTCAAAGAAAACAATACTATAATGCCATAGTATGATCGTAGAAGATGCCAAGGTCAGATGAATATATTGCGAAGTTATAGTACATCAAATTGATTTGACTAAGCCTTAATTGGTGAGAAACTTTTATTACTACTACTACCACTACTACTAAAGATTAGCTAATCTAAACTGAATTGAGGATATCTTTTCGGTAAAAACAAACCCATTTATAATATAAATTATTCATTGTCTACAATCATTACAGTACTAGACATAGTGCTCAGTTTATACTGCACTAGGTAACATACTGTCATCAAGGATAAAGCTACCTAGAAAATCAATAACATTCTATGTCAACGCAATTACAAGTCTATTTTCTAAGGACGATTGGTCCGAATTATCAGTGTAGGTATCAAAACAGTACGCTTACAGCCGTATTATAACTACATTCTAATACAGATTTTGTCAACAAATAGTTTATATCCAACGAGACCTAACGGTTGCTATCTTTCATGGCCAACGTCAAGTTGGAATTGCAGTACTTTTATTTAAATATTAGTCAATATTTTGGTGAGATATCGACGTTACTAACTAATAGACAATTAAAGCGCTAATTACACGATACTCCAAGGTGAAAAGTAACATAGCTATTTACTGCAATTCCAATCCTTACCAGTTAAAAAAGGTATAAGTTCATTCCTAGTTCTTTCTACACCTAACGCTAAAGCAATAGTAGATAATTTCTTGATGGAGTTAAGTCTCAACTGAAAAAAGAGAAGATGGAAAAGACTTTTAAAATTGAATAGAACACTTTTTATCTAATATGACAAAATATCCAATAAACTACAATACGTTGGCTATTCAATAACAACAGTATAATCGTTAGTTAACAAAATCCTTCAACTAACTATAGTAATGTACCATCCTGTCTTGATGAAGTACAGAACGATACATTGGGCAAGATAGTGATTATTTCAGTATACTGGTAAGCGCAAATTGCCTTCAATTTCGACAGCGTCAATAATAATATTACAGTACAAACATGATGAAGAGCAATCTGTTTGTGTGCATTGTCGACATCTATCTTCTTCGTTGACAAATGGAAAACGACCTAAGTTAGTAGTTGTTTCTTTGTGCGAATTGAACTTTTAAATTTAGCGTTGTCTACATGGCATCCCGCCTAATGCTACCCAACTACAGTAACATCCACTGCCCTATAGGCATTGTTGGTATGGCAAAATATAGTTAGCATGAAGATAAATACTAACTAAATGTTCTAAGCTACAACTGACATCGATTTGTTGTCATAGACAAGCAATTGAAAGCTTGCAGCATCCACTGTCTAGTATACTCGTGCTGCGGTAAATAAAACTATTTCAGTATATTGGCAAGAGTTTTCCCCAATGATAGTGCTCTTATTTCGATACAGTATAACAAATTCTATATACCGTTAAAATAGTATATGGCGTCTTCGATTGCGTATAAAGTTTATGCTCATTTTATTGTATTGGAGTAAACCATAACGCCCGGTATCAAAACCACGTCGTGATGGAAAGTTTATAAAAACAGATTACGGCTAGAGATTGAAATGTAAATGTTCAAATTTATCCCGCTCATCAATGCTGTAAATAGATTATAAGTATCATTCGGCGGATTACGCTAACCAAATTACTTATCAGTTTTATACCTTCTAACGGTACCATATAATGTACAATTACCACAAACTTTATCCACGTTAACACTATAATACCAATCCTTTAAGACTAATAAGAAGTAATCCTATACCGTAAGAAAGAATGTAATCTTTTGCAGAAGGAAACAAACTGTACAAAGCATAAGTACTTTGTTATTGTCAACGTTGCGCTAGGAGGCAAACTTTTGATTGAGTATCAATTGATTGAACTTAGCCTTGTTTGCCGAAAGTTTTTCTATCTTCCACCATGTTGTATAAACTATGTACCAACAACTTGATCATACCGCAGTCTATTGGCGATCGCGTCGGACTTGGATCAATCGATACTAGTTCAAAGTATTACATTCATCATTCAATTCATTGCTAATATTCCGTGCTCAATCCACGCCGTATCCATGACTGTCCATTCACATCTAGCAAAGTTGATTTGTATCAAAACTGGCTGTTGTCTACGGCCGAAAAAAATGCCTCAAAAGGAACGGTGGAAAATGTACACTAATTGGTCCAAATAAGAGTATGGGAAATATTGAAAAGTCCATTGGTTGAAAAGTAGAGTGAAATAAAGATCGATTCAAAGCTTTAAGCTATTCACTTTTACTGTAAACTACAGGAAAAGAATTGAATCGACCAGCCTATCCTATCGCTCGATAGTAAAGTCCAAATAAAATTCATTGACCATTCTTGAGAAAATTGTAGCCTACTTTGTTTGCGTTGACAATTTTTCTAAATAAACCAATACGCAAGCTGAATTCTACTGGATTGGATCCAATCTCAATGATGTACCAATAGGATAGAATGAAACAGTAGTGTATTCATTTGTTACTTGTATGAATTTGGATGATTATTTCAAGAGGTAAGAAGGCAAAACGTGAATAATTTTTCAATCTTTTCCGTCGTCTCGTTTTGAGTGCGATACTGACATGACTCATAATGGCTTACCATATGACCATGATTAAGATGGTGTTGAATACGGCACCCTAGGGTCCGTCCGTCGAGACCATCTGACAGTTGTGTATGTGTAGTATAGGACTAGACTATTGTACTGGACACAGTATAGAGTCTTACACCACTATGTGGTTGGGTGATCGTCAATAAAAAAGTGCACACTCAGCAAACTTGTATACGATCCCTGTAGACGCTTTTGTGTTGAATAATACAGTACCCTATGCGATTGCCATTGAAGCACGAAATTGAATTTTTAGCGCTCTCTACTACCCAGTGAAGAAGAATCATGTCGGGCAAGGTGCAATAAAATGCCTCAAAAACTGCCATTAACCGCGTAAAAGATGCAAAGAAACATCCAGTATACATTGTCCATCATCCATTCTTACTACATTGTCTAATACCAACTCAACTAGGCTAGTTCATTTTGAAAAATAACGTCAACTTGATGCCTATAGCACAGTCATGACTGCCATGGAAAGGGCAGGACACAAGGAAAAACTCCTTCTCCAATAACGCTATTTCAATCCATTTTTTTTTTTTTTAAAGTTTAAATTACTCCTATCAATAATCCAATAATACACATCAAAATCATTCAACTTACTGCAACATCTTCATTACGTAGTTCATCAATTAAAACAGCAATAGGATAAATGCTGTCTTCGACATTTCCATCGGCCATCATGAAGCTTATTAACTTCTGCAACAAACGTTTACTTTCAAAGCTGTCACTGAAGGTAATGACGGTATCGTGCTTTACTCAGCCTAATTATACTGTACAGTATAATCGACTCCAGTCCAGTGCTAGACAGTACAGTATGGTACAGTCGCATTCAATCGATCTTCTTTATCCGTCGCCAGTACCGTACCGTACTAGTACTAGTGGACCCATTGCTTATACTGCCGGACAGACATGATAGACTGACTAGTCTGTAGTCACTGTCATGTGTATTAAACAAAGAAGTATGACGGTGATGTCGCGCTGGAACGACAGACAGACGCAAAGCCCAAAACTGCTGAATAGAGGAAAAAAAAATACAAAATGACCAAGCATGCGCACAGGGTTGGATTAGTCCGTTATTTTGATAATTGGTAGTGGGTTGGATGGATTGATGATTGTCAATCTTATTAAATTAATTAATTATGGTTGAAAAGCTATTTTTGTACTATGAACTTATTATTTCTAGTAGTCCAGAACAGAGTTGACAGAGTATATTTCTAGAAATTATGCTATTTGACCAGTATCTTAGTCGATTGATTATTGCTCACACAATTCTCTTTCTTATACAGGTATACAGTGATTAGAAAAGCCTTTCTTTCCTCCGCTATCACTCTCTGCCCTTTTCATCCCTAGTAGTGGTTTACAGTTGTGCGATACTGTGCGCCTCCATTCCGACATTATACAATTTTAGTCTACACTGTAAAATGGACTACTCAATAAATCCCTTTTATTGAATAATCCGTGACTGCTGTGCAGACATCAGTACCACTTAAAAACTTATTACTGTAACAGATTTTGCAGACCTCTGCTGTATCTGCAGTATACAGACTTGCCGAGTACTCTGCTTGCAAGTACAGTACGGTCATCGCGATGATTTTGTCATGGCTGAAATATCAGGTTACATACAGCAAAGAGATATCATCTCTTATATGATTGTAGAGGTCGAGGTCAAAATATTTCAATTTTAATTGACTGTTGATCGCAATTTTTGAATTTCACAGTATGGTCACTATGCTACTTTCATTGGAGTCTAGTGCTTCGTATGTACACTGCTGTATGCAACGACTTGTTAGAGGAATTTTCTGAAGGTAGCGCTTTGAACTGTTCTGCTTTTCTTTCTGTACTTTACATGTCTGTCTGTACGCTGGACAGTATTTTGACAGAGGCGTGGCGAGTAAATATGGAACGCTTGAAAAATGTTTAGTGTTGCCTTAAATTATACCTTTAAATTTGGCTCAAATTCCACGCAGACAGATCAGTACAACCTGGAGTAATGGGCTATTGGCGTTTTAATTGCAGTATTGAGTTATTTTATTTCGTTCAAGTTTCTAATATAAACTATCACTCACTGGCCCATGTGCGCTCGGTCTAACCATTTTGTAAATCACGGAAATGGCTGCGCTTGTTGCTTTCTTGCATACAGCGCACATTACAGTAGACACTGGCATAGCCTAGCATACGGTTTAAACCAGGCCTTGAATAGATGCAACCAATATGTAACACTCGATGGAACTACGTTGAGAGAAGCATGGAGATCTTGATATATTTCTGATTTCTTCTACTGTACCATTTACTTACCACTGTGGTCAATGGACTACTAACAGAAAACCAAGTTATTGTTACTTGCTGCAACTATCTAGCGTTCCAGCGTAAATTATTATTATTCACAGATTGTTGATCCTTCACAGCTTCACTCTACTTATACCAAAGTCCTAAAAATATTCATTCTCTGCTCGTATACCGGGAAGGGTATTTCACGGAGCGCAAAGGGCTATCTTGCGGCATCATATTCTAGATCAAGAATGGATAGAATAGTGACCCTGACTATTTGGAGAAAGAAAGGCAAACTGCTGCACACTGCTGACTACGCTGCTGTATAATGTACAGATGTACAGTGGTGAGAAATGGGAAAAATCCACGACTTGATCCTACATTCATCTAAGCTTGCAAGGATTGACGCGTAAGGCATTTAGGTGGTCGATTAAATTCTATGACAATCCAAATCCCAACTGATATACAGTATGCATAATTGCATACAGTTTAGCAGCAAGTATACGACCCCGATATGGCGGATACTATATGAGCTACATAATGCATTTCAGTAACGGCTTTGTACCAGTAGGACAGTTTCAGTGAAGTGTACAAGAAGCATCAATTCACATCGATGCAGATTTTGCAGACCTGTAGTCTACAGTGTCTGGTCTACTCATTTTTTCTCTATTGAGTATTTAGTCATGGTGTAGCCGCAGTGAACGAGGTAGGACTCCATCCATGCCATGCTCTATAGAACGATGCAAGTACAAAACAATTTATCACAAGTATAATTTATATGCAACAGGCAGAACAAGATAGCTAGCAATATTCGTCGGGATCAGGCCAATGAGCGAACGTTTCTAGTTGTAATAATACTCGGTACAACCATGAACTACTCAAATTCTACGTAGAATGAAGCAGTCCATGGTACAACCTAGGTAAAAGATTATCATTACTAGAGGAGTATAGCGAAAAATATAGTAGGTCAAGTTTTCAATAGTGATGTAAGTTTAACTTACGACACAAAAGTAAAGAAGAATGTCATTACAGGAGGAGTATTGCAAAAGATAGATTGAGTATTTATTGATGCAATTCGATCCGCTACGCTAGAGTAGGTATACAAAATGGATATTAATGTCACTACATGCATACTTATACCTACATGCAGTGATATTCTATAGCTCCATACTGTGACTAACCGCCATCAATCGACCACACATGTGTAGGATAGGCTGGATAGTCTTGTTTAGTGGAGTTCCTGCAGATTCGGTTATTAGTCGCTATTTTTAATAAATCACTTTGTTGAGTTTTAGTCAACATCGACAATGCTGAGTAGAATCATCCGTTAGTAAACGATTGTATACGCACCAATTGAATACACGTTATAAGAGCGCTCATGTATGCTTGGTATTCCTGATTTTCGTCTAGTACACTTTGCGTAAGTATGCTGTTATTATCGTCAATTTTTTTATAATGAGAAAACCACGGGGATAATATTGTACAAATTACATATAAATCTTGCAAGAATTCCTTCTTAACCTCAGCATAACGTTAGCTGAATATCTAGTGACATTAGTTGCACTCCTCCATGGACCTGTAGACTACCCTTGTAAAACTATCCAGCAACGAATCCATATGATAATTATCCTAAATATAAATCTCGTCCAAAGGTATGCAAAGAAAAACCTCCATATAATCCTATGAATGTGATTCTGACTTATTAATCTTTGCAGTTATGACTAAACCCGAAGCTTTAGAAATAAAATCCAATCGTAGTATAGACTAATTCCCTTGATCTTATAAATCAACTTGTGCAGCCAGTATAACTAAACTTTGCCGCCGTAAATTCCCTCAAATACAGAGCAGATCCCCCCCCCAAAAACGAATTGGATGTATTTCATTTACAATTAACACTGGTACACACTTTGGTTGCTCAATGGAAGTACAAATTTGTTTTTACCAGTAGCGTTGCGATCCCTTGGCTATTACCAACCTGCACATGTACATCTTCTGCAAAACTGTCGTAGTCTGCAAAAGAAATTTGCATCGATCACACCCGCAAGTATCGATCGCGTCTGTGCTAATTCTATAATTGCATTCTATAACAACATCATCAGAGCATAAAACGACGCAATTATAAAAGCTTATTCACTTGTAGTATAACCCTGAAATTGACCAGGTTGTATGATCGGTTAAATTGTGCAAAATGGCGGGTAACCCTATATCGAAAAATAATAATTTCGTTTCTGTGCGAGATATGCCCGTATATTTAATCGTTCTCCATCCACAGTACTTTGTTCATCTTTTATAAGCATATACAGTACTTCGCAATATCACTATTTATTGTTTGTTATTAATGACATTACCACCTTAATTAAGCATGAGTCTAGTGATTATCTCTTGATGCAGCATCAAGGAAGATATTGTAAGGAAATTCAATTACCATTACAGCAATATCGTAACGCTTGCTTGCTTTATCATGATGATCATGGAAATTATTAGAGCGATACAGAATGACTTAATCCCATTAAGATACAAATAATCGTTTAAAGTAGCTAAATACCGAGCTCCTTGTTCTACTAAGAATTATTCTACGACAGGATAACTTCAATAGAACTCAATACGGTACTATGAGCATCATTCTATTCAATAACAGATAATTATAGTACAAGTAATTGTGCTTGATATCCTTTCCGTTTATGTAAACAAAGACATCGCATATATTATGTAGCTTATACATGCAAATGATAACTGAATTCTCGTTCGACCTATTAGAAAGAGAAAGAAAACGCTACAAGGAAAATTAGCTGAAATAGGAGGAAATTCTATGCCCTGCAAGTGACTTTGCAAATCTTAAAAAGGAAGGGGTAACCCAGCATTATAATGAGAAATACATTAACGTTGCTATGAATAACAAGGCGGTACTTATATAGCGATATCATCAATATCTTTACTAGTGTAGCTTAATTTCCTCGACAACAATAGTGCTGATACAAAGTTAACAATTGATTATTTATATCGATACTGTCATTAATTATTCTGCTTGGCAACCACAGTCTCAATTGGCTTTTGTATACGGTTGCCAAGCAAGCAAAGCAGCACATTTCATTGACTTACTTCCACTCTATTACTACTCTCAGTAACATGATAAGCCAAACCAGCAAATTTGCAGTCCTTCATATCATGATCTATCTTCTTGTTGGTAAGATATAATTAGTGATTCTGTTCAGAAATCTTCAATACTAATTTATGATTTAAACGCATCCAAAAGTATTGACATGAAATATGAGTGAAGCTTTATTTTCTAATTCTAAATCTTAATAATATCATCAAATTATTTACTACAACAGGTAAGTATGACAAAGTGTTACGCTTAAATTATTTAGTAAATCTTTTAGTTAGTTTATATTTTGTATATATATATTTACTCCAATCAATAAAGGCATGGAAATAACGATTCCGATTAATTCTATTCTATTCACCATTTCAGAACATCAAGCCATTTATACTCTTTTCCAAATCAAGGCGAATAATCCACTATTATCAATCATAGCTAATCAATAAATTTGATATAACAGATAATATCAATATGGCTACAGCTAAGCAAATTCGACGTGCATATATTCAAGGGTAAGCCAAATATTTATTGCAACTTTAATCATGTAACAGAAGCATTATATCCTAATTCATCAGTAGTTCACATTTTATATTTAGATTATAAGCTATAATTATTATTAATCACTAATATTTACTGCGTTATATATAACTCACCAATATATTTCTAAAAATCACGAATGAACTGTAGTAATAAACACTTTGAAGCTATTCCCCCACAACCGCATAGTATTTTGATTTAGTCTAGAAATTGAAACTCATCACTTTAAATTGTCACGATTACTGCTATATCCATTGACAAAATTAGTGCTAGTAGTAATCGTTCAACCTGTTAAGTCACTTCCTAAGTTATGACATTTCAAATTATTAGTATAATATAAATTTACTAACGAAATTGTCGGATGCAAAATTTTTCTCGAGTACGGTACTGAAAGAATTTAACGGTCCATAAAAAATTATCAAGTCACTACAGTAACAGTAATTAAAAGATTTATTTAGGACTATTACAGCACCAATCACTCTCTTTGTTCCTAAATTCTCATATTGCTTTGCATGCATAATTTTATATTATGATCCACATCCGGATAAATCTTTCAAGTAGTCAAATTGGTGCTTTAAATAATTACAAATATTTTACAAGAAAATAAAATATACATCTGGCATAATGGAAAACTTTAAAGGAAAAATCAACTAAAAATCATTTCAGACCCTTCATGTACAATTAATTGCGTAGCCATTGATTGCAGTTTGTTGCATATAAGGCGCAATATTAAAAATAGTAAAATGAATAACAGATCATTTATTATAGCGCCGCTATTAAATAGCTCAAAGGGGACGTACAGTATAATCTCGATTGATTGATTTCATGTTTATCTGATTTTGATCAATTTTTACAACTACTAATTATAATTACAAGTATTTATTTTACTTCTTGATATTGCAATATTAATACTAATAATCGATCATTGAAATTAATTACATAATATGGCGTATTCTTCTCCTCACATCGATTTTCTTAAGATAATAAATAATAGATATCTCATTATATTAATCCAATCCTCAGCATAATTCGATATGATAAATGTTTCTCACTTTATCAATAGTAAATTTTCCAAATATGGTGGATAGCTTTATTTATAGGATTAGAAATGAATATAATTTAATCTATTTTATAATTTTCGTAGTGGTTACAAGAATTCTTATAAGCCAACGGAAGTTTATCGCAGGCCAAAAAACGGCGAATATTTAACCAACTATCGTGAATTTTATCCTTCCTATCCTAAAGCAAAACCCAGTACACCTGTTCGGCCATTTACAAGAGAAAGAACACCTGCAATCAAGAAGGGTCCTATGGTATTTGAGACAGCTCAACGTTCCGATTTTATACCCTTGCCGATATCGAAACGTAATAAAGCCTCAGTTACAGTTTTTAAAAATAGTGAAAAGCCTCTTTTAAGCGGTGATATGGATATTAAAACTACATATAATGAAACATTCAAGCATAATAAATTGAAATATAAACCTGTTACGATAACAAAGCCTGAAGCTAGAGCTGTCACAAGCTATGATAACAGAAGGAAATTTGTCCCTCTTACAACTCATGCAGAGGAATTTAAACCCCGTAAAATCGATCGTCAATCATGTTATTCCGATCCACCATGTTATACTGGTTCTATTTTATATCCCGATCGCCACTTGTCTCATTTTTCAACAACCACATCTGACGCATTCAAGCAGCTACCAGGTGAAAGAGCACGGCGTGTTCAAGCTTCGAAGGATAACCTAGCTATCGAGGGTGATTTTTATCACAATACGAGCTATAAAAATAACTTTACCCCTCATCAATTAGAATTAGCTCATATAAAACCAGTGGAGAAGAAAGTAATGATAACTAAAACAAGTAAGTTAAAATTTTTTTGGCGCCAGTTGATAATATCTTCTTTTGAGTTAATCCATGAGAGAGCTTTTATATCAGGCATCGTAATGCCATGACTATTACTCGTAAATCACTTTGAACTGCTAATACCTAAGCGAACATTTCTTGGAAATGATAGTAGATAGTCACCATCTGCAATATTTTGGATTAATTTTACCGTATACGATATTGATAATAGGATTTCTCTATTCTGACTAAACGAGCTAAAAATGAAATGATTACTATTGACAAAAACTGACCAGTTTTATTAATTACCAAGATAATTTCTTTTATCCATTGATAGCTGCAGTTCTATGATATATTAGAATCTTTCAAAATAACCTCTTTGGTTACCTTTACATTTCAAGTCAATCTTCATCATTTCTACTGCTACTGCACAAATTCAATCTGATACTATGAATTTTTTTAGAAAGAAAGCTAGATTTCAATATCTCAAATAAACTATCCAATTTTCACCTTACCCATAATACTAATCATATCCTACTTACTTGTACAGATAATCTAGCTAAAATAAGATTACAAAAAAATCATAAAATTAGTTAATTACACTATCTTATTCGTAGTCCCTTAGCTACTTGTAAGCATTCAGCAAATAATTATAATCAAGTACGATCGATTTTCAGGGCAACGAAGCAAGATTCTATCACTTATCCCTCGCATATTTCTTTAGTGCACTACAAATTAATTAAATGAAAGCTAACGAATATGATATTAAATTTTATGATGGAATATATTTCGGCATCGTCATTGATAGTTATAGAATTTTTATCATTATACGTATATGTAATACAGTCTATATCTCAAAATGTTAGCATTTACGACATGACTTTTCCAAATTAAAGCTTCCTAAAGAGCTGATTGTTACATGCTATAAGTCTACTCTAAAACTATAATATCTAACTCGTATCTACTATTTGAAATGGCTAGAGCAACCTCGGCATAAATTTGATGCCATTACGCAGTCCAAAGATGATTTCAAAGCTTACCGGGATTCTCGTCCACCAAAACCAATTACTCCACCACCATCAACATTACAATTGTTTGAAGGTGAAAAAAGTGAGTTTATTACAGCTAATGCCGATTCCTATCGTGGATGGGATACTTCAAAGCATACAAGAATACCACCAGCTAAAATTGCAGAACCAGATTATAAACCACCTATTGATAAATTTGAAAATTTAACTACCAGCAAAAGTCATTACCAGCCCATAAAGGAACATGAAAATTATAAACCGGTGATGTTTAAACCAGTTCCTAAAGCAGAATCAGTTAATCGTAAATTTGATTATCAAACAACACAAAACGTGGAATTTAAGCCATACTTGATTGATCCAAAAGAACGCCCGAAAAATTATAAAATAATAGATATTTATAATCCAACTCTAGAAAAATTTGATAGTACAACAACGACCAGGGATACTTATAAGTCATTTGCTAAAGCTAGTAAAGCATCAGCCTGGAAACCTCCAACACAAGATCACCGCAGTCATCAACCATTTATTGATCATACTGAATATCGACAGTCATTTCATGAAAAGCAAAGCGAACCATGGCCACCAACTAAATTTGTTCAACAGTATCTCCAGTATCATCGAGGTCAAGATAAAAGTGCAGAAAACACAAATTAGAGTATGCTCTTGTGAGCGGTTTTAGCAACTCAAAACATTCTATCCAGAGTTTGATTTAGTCAACGGTGAGCTTCTTAAGTCATATATGAAGAAGTTTACATATTTAATAACTGTAATTCTAATCCGACAAGTTGACATTTAATGTCAATATCGCTTTGTTCAATTTTCAATATTGACTAATTGTTTCATTGCTTAATGTCAAGTAGCAGTGGCAATCCATCCACTAAAAATCGTTTTCAATATTCATTCACATACTGTTGTAATATATTGTTAGAAAGGATGGAATTTTTACGACCACATCATTTTGGTCAAACGTGTCATGTCCGTTTCATTATTCATTTTTTACATTAGGACTAGGGTTATGAAAGTCTTAGTTGCATATTTTGTTACAACCTATTTTGGAGTGTTGCAATTATTAGTAATATCTGCTTCATCAAATATGTACATAATTTAATTCGTATCTTAATTCCTATGACATTTTTATACATAAGTTGTACGTCACGACGATAGCTTACAACTAAAGCATATAGTAATTGCTAAACTCAACTGTAACACAAAAAAACAAAACATTACGATTTTGGGCAAGAGAACGCTGCTGGCTTTTTCAAAGTCTAGATAGATTCTCTATCTCATGTAGTAACTTGATCAATCTATTTAATAGATTTGTACATGCACCACGGTTATATCCGCTAAAATTTTTTGATAAATAATATCTACCGGATAGAGTCATTGTTGATATGTACATAATAACTATTCTAGATGCAGATACTCAAAACGTTTATGAATCAGTAGTAGAAAGTAAGTTATGATTTATTCATAACAGAGCGATTTAATTTTCCATTTAAATCAAGAAGCTAAAAGCATATTTAATTAATTACTTACTTTACTGTAATAGCCAATTATCCTTTAAATATGTTTATGCGAAAGAAATAGAATATGATATTACTGTTCCAAAGTTTTAACTTGATAAACTATTATCAACACGTCCAATATACAAAAATCTGTATTTGATCATATTTTTTTGTGACCATTTCTTTTCATTTTTTCTTTGCATTCAAATATATGATCAGGCGGATTTGCAGATAAATAGATCAGAATATCTGCTTCTCTATCATGACATAATTGACAATTTTTTCCATAATGCTACAAGTATTTCGTGTTTGGATCCAACTTTGTACTCTGCTTTGAAATGCTATGAAGTACTATTAATCTTGAAATTAAAAATTGTCATTAAGACTCATTGGAGTTGTTTGCTAGCATTTGTATGTTAGCTTTAATGAAAATAGTCATCAAATAGCCATGCACAACAAAATATTGGCCACATTAACATTTCATGTTCATCATGATCGATAATTGCTACTATATCGATCACTCTAAATGCTGTACTTTTAAGATCAACAGAGAATGATTCATTCACACGGATACTTTAGGATAACACCGTTAATGTTTAAAGTAGACATTTTAACTCAATTTCTATTTTGTATAAAATAAAGATATTTCCAATACAATCTTGCTAAAAGGCATTGATAGAATTGCTACCAATGTGTAGTCTCAGATTATAAAACTATTTTTCTACAATTTCGATAAATGTTTAACTATTTCAACACTTTATTACCTATTATTGAATGATCTCTTGCAATGTACTGTTAAATTTGTCGCATGCATGGTATTAATTTCGATTTGTAGAATCTTCTTATAATGCAGGCTATGCTAATTAGGGATGATGAGTTGGAGTATTAGGAATCATTGATAGAATACGTACATTATACTTGGAACTTATGCATGCATACATGCAGCAACGCACGGATAATGTTGAAATTAGTATTTCCAATATCTAGTTTACAAACTGCAGCTACTAGAAGGGATTTTAAGTCGATACGTTTATTTTTAATATGCTGGATAAGTGAAATTTCTACATAAACAGTATTCAGTATATTACATGTCTACTCTATTCAAGAAAATTTAATATCTATAATGTAGAAAACATGTTTCGATAAGGTAAAAAAAACCTTGGATCTAGGTCGCACTTAAAATCAATCGTAACGAAGAAATAGTTATTATTAAAATAACAATCATAAAATTAATTAAGTGAGATTACCGGTAAAGAACTCAGATGAATACCTTGTAAAGCAGCCGTGTTAAATTTGTATTTATGATTATAAAATTATACAAAATCTATAACAGCAATCCAATAACAGATTGTGCTGTACTTGTATTACAGAATTACTAGTAAAATAGTTCATCTGTTAAGGGTACTACTCTTAGAATATAAATCATAAGATTACATTTGTTAGCTACAATTAAAAAATTAAAATCCTCAAACTTAGTTATAGATCGATAAATCCTTATGATTAGTTGATATTATACCGGTACTCATTAACAATAGATATATGAATAGTTTGCTCCTATAAAAAATAAGCAAATAAACTGATATATTACTAAAAATTTCGGTTAAGAATTGAACATGATTGATATGGATGGAATTGAGCTAATAAGAAAGCAAACTATTCCTTAAGAATTTACTTCTAAAATATTGTGAACAAGCTTACAAATCGTGCAAGTATAACATTAAAATCACGAAGAGGAAATTACTGTAGTATTTAAACAATTACGAAGAACCGTCGCTTGTATGTAAGCTATATCAGTAATCTCTATAACTCTGTATCTATTGGTACACAAGCATTCGAAGATATTTTATTGCACCGAAACAAATCGGAATACAAAAAGCTTGCCATTTTTAATACAAGGATTAAAAAATCTTAGTAGGTCAGTTATGTAGAGGATCATTAAGTAGACAGCTAATAGCTAATTGACTATATTTCGTAAATATCCTCAAGTATGTGTAATTAGAGAGAAGAACTTAAATCAAAGGAGTATTACATTCACATTATATTAGAGGGAAACAATCGATAAGATGTCTTAATCATATTTTAGAATCGAACGAACTAGGTAAAAACTAAGCCAAACTCCGATCTAATATTTTCAATTTCGAATAGCATGAAACTAAGTATTAAATAGTGGTTATGAAAATATATTTGGAAAGGCTTTCCATTTCAATTCTCTCACTACACTATTACAACTACGTCAAAGATTTATTTGATCTATCTATATTTTCATATTACAAATCAGCTACATTATGTATTATTCCAGTACCGGTATATTACAGTTATATTTAATTCTATTCCTAGTCATCGCTCACTGCTAGCGCTCCATCTGAGACGACTAATGACTAACCTCAGTTACAACACCATATAATTCAAGAACAAGATATCCTAAAACCATCGCTACGCAGTATATGCTTACTTATGTCGATCGATCAATTTTCATGAAAGAAATACTATTGACACTATTTAATACCGTATAATATAAGATTAATGTTATGACATATCTATAGACTCGTATAATATTCTACTCCGTTCGTCCTATGGAGTAAGCAGATCCTGAAGAGTATATACTTTCCTTTCGCTTGTAACGGCGGATCATATTTATGGCGGTTTTGCGTATATTGCTATTAAAGTAGCCATAAATAATTGGATTGATCACTGGATAACAATAAGCAATATAGACCGTAACTTGAATAAATATCAATGCGGATGGTGTATATTCGCTATTTTGACGTACGCGAAATATAAAGAAGGCGATGATATAAGGCATCCAAAATACGAAAAATGTGCCGACAACTATAGCTAAAGTACGGGCCGCTTTAATATTCTTAAATGTAGAATCGACTAAACTCTTTCTACGGCTTCCATTTTTGCCACTCGTTGGTGTCTTGGGTTGGCTGCGAATATGATGATCTCGTGCAATAGCATAAATGCGGCCATAAGTTAGTAACATAATGGCTAATGGTATAAAAAACAAGGAAATGAAGAAGACAAAGTAATAAACTTCTTCAATTTGGGCGGTTTGTGGTGTATTTGCAGTAGTCCAACCTATTTCACGGATAGATATACAAAAAGTACTCATTTCAGCTAAAAATTTCATAGTTATTACACAAAAAGTTAGAGTTCATTAATAAAAAGCCATTTGATATAGTAGCCATTTAAATTAATCCTAATTGCGTTCAAACGAAAGATTATATTTCAAAATTTCTAAATTGAGCAATTACTGAAACAGCGTGCCTGTTTTTGTGTATTTATGTAGTGTTCATCAATCATTTGCAGAAAATTAATAGGGTATTGACATGAAACTTACATCGTGATCTATCTTGAAATACGGGGCGCCAAATCAGAGGTAAAAAGCTTGCCGCTATAGAGAGAATATAAACGACAGCCAGAGCAATAATTACACGCTTCTTCTTAACGATCGATTCATAGTGTAAAGGTGCAGTAATTGCCAAATATTTATCCAAACTGACTATACAAAGATGTAAATTCATCATAATAACAAATGTTTGCCCAAGTAAACTAATAAAGGCGCAGTAAATTGGATCGCAGCGCAATGTGCCAACTAAAATTTTTCGTGGTAAGAGGAAGAATACGGCAAATAAGATACAACTAAGACACATACTGCACATAATAATATTGGTATTATTCCAATGGCGGCGCATAACCATGATTAACAGACTGTTATTTAAAATTGTAAAAAATACGACAGCGCTATAGATGTAGGCTTCAATAATTTCATCTGGTCGCATATACATGCAACGTGTAATAACTGAGGTAGTATTATTTCCAGCAGCCGACATATTAACGATAGTGCTCTAGTCTGATATCCAACCAAATCTTTAACCAAAATTTACTGGTGTGCCAATTGGCTTGAAGTGGAACTGGTGATAACAAAACTCGGCAAGAAAGATAGGAAAGATCTGGCTTGAAGCGTTAAGATAGAATTTTAAAATTCCAACGTCCAGCAACGTTCGCGTATTACAGTTGATATTCTACGATTTTAAAAGGGTTATAATCGGAGATGATTGAAACTGTCTTATTGGCTTGAAACGATAGCTCCTAAATATTATCGACATATATAGATAAGTACGTTAATTATTAAAGTACGAAATTAAAATGAAAGGCTATAAAGTCGATATACGCGTATTTACAAAAGGAGATAATTCATTAGCCGATCATTTGAATGATCAAAACAACTGTTAAATGTATCGATTCACAATTAATGGCGAACTAAAAGTAGGTTATAATTTATATTCGATATTTCTATCAGGATTTTGGCTTCATTAGAATTAATGCTGTAATCAAAGCAATGAATATACACTAAATATAAAATATCCCAAGCTATTAATTCTTGCGACATGTAGTAGATGCCCGTAAAATAGTTTCGTTACTAAACAGCATTCATTTCTTATCATAAATTTAATATAATTTCCAATTTTAACTCAAGCGTACACGGGTAACTTGTAGTAGCAATATTATGCAAGAAATATCTACTGACAATTTAGAAATGAGCTCATCGATTCGCTCTGCAAAAACTTACAGGCATTTATCAGTATCTTTTTTCCCAGTAAATAATTAAAATTTCAATTTCATCACGGCGACGGTTAGTGATTATCGCAGTTTAACGATTCGGAAATTGCGATTAAGTTTGTGCGGCATTAAGAATGTTCTGATGAGGTAGCCGCTATTAGGCGGCCGAAACTGTGCGATTTCTCATAGGTACGGGGATATCTTACGCATGTCTTACAAAATTTGTACAAGCCCAAAAGGAGCTATCTATATCCGCCATTACCAATGATTAAATAAACCGTACTATCTTATTCCAATTAATGATTAGCCGTTAGTCTTTGCAATCGAAAATTAGCGATGCAGGATCGGAAATTAAAATAAATCCTCATACTATAATAATTGTTTTAGTCAAAGCTCAATACTAGCTTGATAGCACTGAGAGAATTGCGAAACGATCATGCAAAATAAGAAAAATCCTCCTTAAAATAGAATAAATTCATTCGGGCAAAGCAATCCCTATAATTACAGTGAATCCACTGCACAGTATTTTCATCTTCATTGTCGATTCCTGGAAAAGATGGCAGACGATAAATCGATAAAGCAAGATAAAATAGATTCCTTCAATATCAGCCATTTGTTTAGATCTATAGTTCGATTGTCCATATTGATGGGCATATTTACTATCAATTGGTTCCCTTGACCTAAGGGCTTTTAATGATGACGCACAATAAAAATGAAAATGAAGTGTTTTAAAAATGGAATACTAAAATGGACGATGAGTCATCATTCCCCCATTCCAATAGTGAAACAACGGTATCTTTATATGATCTTTATATCTTTATATGAAGATAATAAAGATTTCTATTCTCTGTCAGTAGATTATTGGAGAATCAATACAGTTATTGTAGAAGGAATATATCAAAGTCTCTCATGCTAATGTTAACGACTAAGAGTGGAAACACGACGGCTGGTTTCGAATTAGAAATAACTTTAGATTGACTACTGTTCCCTGGAATGAGAAGGAACAATCATTTAATCCCATTCTAAGTTCATCGCTAATTAGAGTTTAGATGATCATTCTCCAAAAAGATTGGAAATATTCATGAATATCTGTAATCTGTTATTAATCTATTTCGAACAGGGAATGAGATTGGATTAATTAACTGTCATCCTTCAAAAAATGGACGATGATCATTAGCACCTTGAAACCGTTTCTGGTTCTCTCGAACTAGAAAAGAGTTTCCATTGATTAACTATTATGAACAGCATCCCGCGAAAAGACGGAAATAATAATTAACACCTTTAATTCATTCCTGGTTCTCTCGAATTGAAAGCGAATTTAGCTTGATTAACTTCGCTTCTTCCAAGGTACGGAAACGCTAAATGCCGTAGTCTAGGTAAAGCTTCCAACAAAGGCCTTCATGATACTTATAGTCCTTTTCATTGGGAGTAGAGCCCCGTTACTATCCTCACAGAGATCAAGAAACAATCTACTTTGCGAATGTATAAATGCACACTTTCCATTTATTCCTTAGTTTCCTCAATTTGAAACTACTTGAACTACAACCTTATCCTCGAAGACAGAGAGTAACTACGAGTACAGCAAATAGAGTAGTGAGAAAGTATACGTTAATAAATCTCTGGAATTAGATCAACAAAATTATCCGAAACGCCCAAGTAATCGGCAAGAGTGATTATTTTAAAGCTCAGAATAATACCTTTAATCCGCTTTTTATCTTTTCAATTTAGATATTCGAAATTAGTATCGCAAAAATTTAAGTATGAGATAAGTAATCCTTTTTCTACATTGTATCAGATAGGATGCAACAATTCCTATATCACAATATTCACTACAACTGCTCCATTCTTTCCTAATTCAATGACAGAATGCTATTCTATTGCAGAAATTTCGATGTGGTACACTCTCAATCAGTCAATTGTAGATTAATTAACAGTACATCTATAAATAGAATAGATGGAATGCTGAAGCAAATTATTTCAGACTTTACCTTACCAGTGGAATTTTTAGGTACTCTTTGAAGGTGAGCAGTAATCTTTGCAAGAGAGTACGCCAATAATGTAGTAACATGGACGTTTGATTTAGGTCGATTCGATTTACAAATCTAGCATGGACTTGCAACTAGATTCAGACTAGAACTACTTTACTAAGATTTTCCCCTTACGGGATCGATCAATATTTTTCTCGTCGAATCATAGTATATGCCAAAGTAGATTTGCTTTTCATCCGCATTCCGTTAGTTTAATCGTCATGACTACATTCCGATACGCCGTTTATTTATTTGTCGCCTTTATTAGTTCTAATCACGACAACTGAATGGTTTTTCAATTAGCTAAAGCGACAAACTCTCCCATTTCCCCCACATTCTGTTAAATGATAGATAAATATAGTGAGCGTATTCATCTAAAGCTATGCTGAAATGGTCAATCGTCCCAGTACTTGTACGATAAATAGCTTATAGCAATTTAGATGAAGGCGTTGAAAACTAAATAGATAAAAACCGCAAGAGAAATAGTCGTTCTCTAGAATAGCCAATTGAATGATTAAAATATTGAAGGCTTTGTTGTAAATGTTACTGCGATTAACGAATAGATATCGGATGTCGGCTATTTAAGCTAGTTAAAGTAGTTTACAACCTATTCCTTTATCATAACCACTGCCCATGTTGTCTACACTGTCTTGTTCTTTGGAAAATTGAGCGAATAAATGTAACTCACCGATTCTTTCTTTTGTTGAAGAAATGGTTTTGCTCGATGATCGCCGCAGATCGCAAGGAGAAAAATCAAAGTGGACGTAGCTAAAATAAATAAATGTTACCACCGATTACGCATAAGTCAGTAGTGGAATAAACTCTTAATCATCAAGTGTCTTTGAATAAAAGTATGTTAGGACTAATCAGAATTGTATTTAGAGTACCAAATACAAAGCTAATTAACTTATACTTTGATCAATAAAATCTCAAGTAGTTCGTAAATATCAAAATAACGATGCCTAAGGCCTAGGTTAAATAATGCTCGTCACTCTGCAAGCCTTAAGAGTGAATTAACTGAGCGGAGAGTACTATATACTAGTCGTAGTAAAGAAATGAATGAATTCTCATTCCAAATAAATCTGATCCAAGGCAATAAACTACTGGTAGCAATGGTAAAATAACAACAACAAAGTAGACAAAAAACAACAACATCGGCGATAATAAAATGGACTGAATTCCTTCTCAAGCACTATCCTGATGGGCGTTTTGTTGTCTTGTCCAATTAATTGAACATTGTCATGATTGTCAACACTTCTAGTCAAGCAGTTGCAATCCGTGAGAACAGAACAGATTCTATCTATTTCAATTATCGGATATTGGATCATGTTTTCTTTTCAATGAGAATAATATCTGTATTAATTCTTATCCCTTAGTTATAGGCACAATGGCCGACATGATCGTTTATTTATCAGTCTACTTATTTTACTGTTGCAAAATTATATTATCAAATGGAGTAAATACGTGTCACGAAATAATATCTCGTCAGACCAAGTTAATTTTTACCTTCTTATAGAATAACTATTGTCTTGGCTTGAAGTATTTGGATAGTGATAACTCTTTTACTAAGGGCTTACAGTAAACTTATGAATATTAATTTAATTCAGTTTGTTATCATTAAAATTTTATACTGTAGTCAAAAATAGATTCAAAAAATGGACTGTAATCCTATGAACTCTTACAATGACGGAAGCTAGACAATTGAATATAAGTTAAATTAAGTTATAGGCCAATATTATGCTAGAATTTCGAGATTCTTTCTTTATTCCAATTGCATCTGATCCATTAATCTTGCTTAAAGCAGCGATTTTTGATCTATGACAGCTGGAATAGTGTATCGCAGATTCACAACTTTCTTTCTAAAGTTTTCCTATAAAACTGATTTAGACATTGATTTTCACACAAATAGCCCATAAAATGCTGTCCTTACTATTGTAAAAGTCGTCGTTTTAATCTAATGCAATACAATTATGGTGCTCTATTTAAATCTCAGCCCTATAGGCTTTGAAAGCTATTCACTGGCTTATTCTATCATCTTGGGTTCTTTATGACTACACTTTTGTCGTGTTATTTTCAAAAGACAACCTCTTTCTAAGTAGGAACGTGATATTTCGGACACTATAATTAGTACTTTCATTCATTTCTATCCGTAACCCAAGACTGTTCTTTTCAAAATCTGTTGTCAATTTCATGTTAGAAACGGTTAATCTTCCTACGGTTGATAGTTGAAGTTATGTTATCTA